TTATCTCCAATTAACTACCAGAAAACTGGAAGTGGTACTGTGGCTCAAAGTGGTAGAGCTCAGTCCCTGAGTTCAAGCCCCACAACTGACCAATACAATAAAGGTATTTCAACTATATTCACCCTGTCCATTCACCCTCCCTCCTCCTGCTGACCGCCCCCCCCCCCCCAATTCATTCTATTGTTCTGGGTATTTTGTTTATTTGTTTTTTTAGACAAGGTCTCACAACATAACCGAGGCTGACCTCAAACTCTCAATTCCTCTACCTCAGCTTCCTGAATGCTGGGATTACAGGCATGCACCACCATGCTCAGCTAAGGGCACACCAATTTCTCAGCATATATAGGGCCATCTGGCTTAGCTAATGCTGAGCTTATATGGCTTTGTTCTTAATTGGTAAAAATAGTCTTCCACTCCCTCTTCTCAGTGCCTTTAGTGGTTTTTGTTTGTTCATTTGTTTGCAATGCTGGAGTGTGGAACCCATGGTCTCCTAATTGCTAGGTAGCATTGTACCACTGAGCTACTTTCTCAGCCTGACCGTAAGACAATGTATTTGTGGGTGGTACTGGGGAATCAAGCCCAGGGTCTCCCAGGCTTAAGCACCCCCTTTTACCACAGTTATACCCCAAGCCCAGAAACAGCAACAACAACAACAAAAAAAAAAATTCTGTACTATCTGAAGAATGCCAATTTTTTTCTGGGTCAGTGATAATCAACCTGTTTAGTGAGAAGGGCAATTCAGAAAAAAAGTAACCTGTTACCAAATGTTTTTCAAAGAAACTATCTCTTTTATCAGGAAATGTAATAGCCACAACTTTGCTTAAGCCTGTTTTCCTTGTTTTCCCAAATGCTCAAGTGTTTCGTTATTTTGGCTGAACTTTCAGCAGCCACAGAACACGCATGCCCCGAAGGATATATCTGAGTATCAGATGTAATGCTGCCCATGTCACCAATATTTATGGCCAAAGGAGACATTTGGGAAGCTGAATTCTTCCCTTTTGCCTTCGCTGACCCTGGAATCCATTTAATTGCGAAATATGCTTGGTCTCTTTGCATTTAGGTACAACAGCTCTACTTCACAGTTTACCAAGCCAGGTTAGTCTTAGCCAGGTGCCAGTGTTCACACTTGGAATTCTGGGGACTCAGGAGGCTGCAACCTGGAAGATCACCGTTCAAAGCCAGCCCCAGACTCCATTTCCCATTAACCACCAAAAAGCCAAACTTGAGGCATGGAGGAGGAGGAGGATTTTGTGTTATTTTTGGCTGGTCCTGGGGCTTGAACTCTGGGCCTGGGCACTGTCCCTGAGCTCTTTGGCTCAAGGCTAGGGCTCTTCCACTTGAGCCACAGTGCCACTTCCCGCTTTTTCTGCTTATGTGGTGCTGAGGAGTCAAACCCAGGCCCTCATGCGTGCAAGGCAAGCACTCTACCCTGAGCCACCTTCCCAGCCCCTGTCCCTGAGCTTCTTTTTTGCTCAAGGCTAACACCTTACCACTTAAGCCATGGTGCCACTTCCAACTTTTTCTCTGATTAATTAGAGATGAGTCTCAAGGAGTTTCCTGCCTGGGCCTGGCTTTGAATCACCATCGTCATATCCCAGCCTCCTGAGTAGCCAGGCTTACAGGCGTGAGCCACTGGCATCCAGCTGAGGATGTGGTGTTTTAAATGTTAAATGCATTCACATATAGCTGTGTAACTTCTAGAGTCAAGATCTAGAACTTGCCTATTCTCTAGCAGTGTGCTTCTTGCTCCTTTCCTCTTCCAAGTCAGTACCTTCATAGAGGGCCTCTCTCTCTCTCTCTCATGCCACACTCTCAGCCCTTATTGTTAGTTATTTCCCAAATACAATCTCATATTAGGCCTAGATCTCAACCTTCCTAATGCTTCTCAAATAGCTTGGCTGCCAGTGACTCATGCCTATAATCCTAGCTACTCAGGAGGCTGAGATCTGAGGATCATGGTTCAAAGGGGCAGGAAAGTCCATGAGACTCTTATCTCTCAATTAGCCACCCAAAAAGCCAGACATGGGGCTGGGCCTCAATTAGTACAGTGTCAGCCTTGAGCAAATAAAAGCTAAGGAGGGGCTGGGAAGGTGGCTCAGTGGTAGAGCGCTTGCCTTGCATACATGAGGCCCTGGGTTCGATTCCTCAGCACCACATAAGCAGAAAAAAGCTGGAAGTGGCGCTGTGGCTCAAGTGGTAGAGCGCTAGCCTTGAGCTGAAGAGCTGAGGGACAGCGCCCAGGCCCAGAGTTCGGGCCCCACAACTGGCAAAAAAAAAAAAAGCTAAGGAACAGTGCCTAGGCCTTGAGCTCCACAGCCCCTTGCCCGCCCCCTGCCCCTTTACTGGCACAAAAGAAAAAGAAAAAAAGAGTTCACCCTAATTATTACAGTACACATGTGAAAATTTGTCACCATTCTAGTGGGTGTGTTGTTGTTTTGGTGTGGTTTATTTGTTTTTGTTTGGCAGTACTGGGAATGAACCCAAGGTCATAGGAATGCTCTCCCAGAGCTCTAGTTCGGAATCACCTAAAGCTCATGGCTTAAACTTGCATTTTTCTCGGGTGATGTTGAACTACAAAACACTTGGCAGACTTACTGACCAACAGACAGACTGAGCAGAGCCAAGAGGTGTCAGTCCTCTTGTAGATAATAAAATGGATTCTGTCAGGCTGTGGTTTATTACACAGTAATAGGTAATTGAAACACAGTATTTTGTCCCTTCTGAAAATGAAGCTGTAACTTTGTCTTATTGCTTCTCCAATATCTGGATTTGAACTACTTTTTTCTTCGTGCCAATATTAGATCTTGAATTCAAGGCTATCCTTTTTCACTCACAGCTGGGACTCTACCACTTAAACCATGACAACACCTCTGGCTTTTTGTATGTGTTGGTCCTGGGGCTTGAACTCAGGGCCTGGGCATTGTCTCTGAGCTTTTGTGTTCAAGGCATGTGCTCTATCATTTGAGCCATAGCTCCACTTCTGGCTTTTTGGTGTTTAATTGGAAAGAAGAGTCTCACTGACTTTCCTGCCCTTTGAACCACGATCCTAAGATCTCAGCCTTCTAAGTAGCTAAGATGATAGGCGTGAGTTCCCAGGACAGGGCTAGTCAATTGCTTCTTCATTAATCCTTCTTTATTTATTTTATACTAGGAGTGAAACTTGAACTCAGCCTTGTGCTCTCGGTTGGCTTTTTCTTGCTCAAGCTTGTTGATCTACCACTTGAGCCAGAGCCCCACTTCTAGCTTTTTGCAAGTTAATTGGAAATAAGATTATCCTGGATTACAGGCTGGGAAGGTGGCTCAGTGGTAGAGCACTTGCCTTGCATGCCTGAGGCCCTGGGTTCGATTCCTCAGCACCACATAAACAAAAAGAAAAAAAAGCCGGAAGTGGCGCTGTAGCTCAGGTGGTAGAGCACTAGCCTTGAGCTGAAGAGCTGAGGGATAGTGCCCAGGCCCGGAGTTCAGGCCCCATGACCAGACCCAAAAAAAAACAAAAAGCAAAAAACAAAACAAAAAAACAAGCAAAAAGGAATATCCTAGATTTGTTGTCCACAAAGCTGACTTCCAACCACAATTCTCAGATCTCAGACTCCTAAGTAGCTAGGATTACAGGCATGAGCCACTGAGGCCTGGTGACTTTAGTTTTTTGTTTGTTTGTTTGTTTTTGGTTTTTTTAGAGGGCCAGAACTGGAGTATGAACTCAGGGCTTGCATTTGCTAATCATTTGAGCCAAACTTCCAGCTCTTTAAATGTGTGTGTGTGTTTGTCTATTTGTCTGTGTGTATGGTTGTGTATGTGTGTACTGTCCAGGACCTTGAACCCAGAGCCTGAATGCTATCCTTTAGCTTTTTTCTTTTGATTTTTGTCGGTTATGAGGCTTGAATCTGGGGACTGGTGCTCAAGACAAGCACTCTACCACTTGAACCACATAGCCGCTTCCATTTTTCAGTAGTTAATTGGAGATGAGTCTCATAGAGTTTCCTGCCCCAGCTGGCTTTTAACCACGATCCTTAGATCTCAGCCTCCTAAGTGGCTAGATTACAGGCGTGAGCCACCAGTGCCCAGTTGTTCCTTAGCTTCATCACTCAAAGTAGTGCTCTACTGCTTGAGCCACAGCTCCACTTGTCTTTTGGTTGTTAATTGAAGATAAGAGTCTCATGGGCCTCACTGACAAAAAAAAAAAAAAGTCTCACATACTTTCCCACTTGGGCTGGCTTTGAACTTCAGTCCTCAGCTCTCAGCCTCCAGAGCAGCTAGGATTATAGGCATGAGCCACCATCACCTGGCTTAAATGGACTCTTAAGAGACTCAGCATACCATACCAGAAGATGGAGTGACTGTCCCAAGGTCACACAAGAGCAAGTCAGAGTCCTGAGCATCTGTACTTTAACCCAGAGAAAGACAGCCTTGCCTGACCGCCCAGCCCCCCTCTGGAACCCCAAGGCTCTGCCCAACCAGCTGCAATCTGTGATCCCTTTGTTGGGATGGGATTGAATTCCCCAGAGCTCCTGTCCCAGCCCTGGCCAGCAGGTCCAGTAACCAGAGATGTGTGAGAAGAAAGGGCCAGTCCATCCGTCGGGGCAGCCGCAGTCCAAGCAGAGGTGAGCTCTCGGGTGAGTCATGCCAATGAAGGGGCCACCTTCCTAGTCCCTAGTGGGCTGCCATTCAGCTGGGCTTTGTATTACTAAGGACTCAGCCATGGGCCACCCACCTCTTCTTGGATCTTTGATCACAGTGTCCTCAGCAGAGCAAGGACACTCCTCCCCCTCTGTATTCTCATGTGGGTCTCTAGAGGTGTGAGATGCTCTTGGAGCTCTGGGTGGGGCCTTCAGGCTCCCTACTTTTCCCTTCCAGCCCCAGATCCTATCAGATTCCCAGAGATGAGCCCTAGCCAGGGAGGGTGGAGCTGCCCCTGGGACCATAGGGAGTCCCAGCTGCTCCAGGCAGTGACAGAGCTGTGACAGGAAGCAGACTCTCACCCAGCGCCGCCTCCAGCTGCCATGTCCCCGCACCTGTGGCTCCCACTGGCCATCTTGGGTAACCTCGGGGGGCAATGTTGACATGCAAGGGACCTGGGCACTGGCATCCAGGGAGTTGAGAGGCAAGACTCCTGGGTTTGTTCTTCTTGGACAGATGCAGAATAAATTAGAGGGGGTGGAAGGGAGAGGGATGGTATACTCAAGGTGGGGAAAGGAAACCTGGGTACTACCAGAAATGAGGGGCTGAAAAGCTTGGGGAGAATCCAGGAGGACACCCAAGTACAGGGGTCCAGCTACTTCCTGTCTCCCTCTGTCTTCCCAGCCATCCACCCCACACCAGGAGCCTTGGAGGACTCAGGTAAGACAGCTGGACTGGGCGGAGGTCAGCACAGAGGAAGGAAAACTAGATGGGCATCAGGGTGGGTAGGCTGGGTAAGGGCAGAGGTGGAAGGAAGAACAGGAAGATGAGAGTCTGGCAGTTAAGGGCTGGCAATTACCCGTTGTCTTCCTCTCTCCACTCCCTGGCTCCTAGCTTTCACACCTACCCAAGAAGAACCTGAAGATCTGGGTAAGGAAAAGGTTTGGGAATTTTTTTTTTTGCCAGTCCTGGGGCTTGAACTCAGGGCCTGGGTGCTTTTCCTGAGCTTCTTTTGCTCAAAGCTAACACTCTACTACTTGAGCCACAGCATCACTTGTGGCTTTTTCTGTTTATGTGGTGCAGAGGAATCGAACCCAGGGCTTCATGCATGCCAGGGATGCACTCTACCACTAAGCCAAGTTTCCAGCCCTGGAATTTGTTTTTTTCCTCCTTTGTGCTGGTACTGAGGCTGAACTCAGGGGCAAGACGCTTTCACTTGGCTTTTTCTGCTCAAGACTGGAACTCTACCACTTGAGCCACACCTCCACTACTGGCTTCTTCATGGTTAATTGGAGATAAGGGTCTCATAGACATTCCTGCCTGGGCTGGCTTCGAACAGTGGAACCTCACATCTCAGCCTCCTGAATAGCTAGGATTACAGGCATGAGTCCCTGGTGTCCAACTGCTGTCATTCTGGGATCTTAAGGTTGAAGCTCAACTGTGCCTAGATTCTGTGTTCTTTGTCTGGGACAAACTGAAGCCGTGTGAAGAATAGATTTTGACCTATTGGTTACTTGAGCATTTATGTAGGTTTGGGGTTTTTGTTTGCTTGTTTGTTTATTAGTCCTGGGCTTGAACTCAGGGCCTGGGCACTGTCCCTGAGCTACTTTTGTTCAAGGCTCACACTCTACCACTTGAACCACAGCACCACTTGGGGCTTTTTCTGCTGATGTGGTGCTGAGCACTGAGCTACCTTCCCAGGCTTCCCAGGTTTTGACCTCCAGGGTTCGCTGTTGCAGACTGCGGCCGCCCAACGCCCTCAGCCCGCATCGTGGGGGGCTCCGACTCGCAGCCCGGGGCCTGGCCCTGGCAGGTGAGCCTGCATCACGGCGGGGGCCACGTCTGCGGGGGCTCCCTCATCGCCCCGTCTTGGATCCTTTCTGCAGCTCACTGTTTCGTGACGTGAGTAGCATTGCCGGACTCGCAGGTCTCACTCAAAGGCCAACCCCACCCTGCAGCTTGACCCTTTGCTCCCCTTCCTAAGGTTAAATTGCACACACACACACACACACACACACACACACACACACACTGGGATGTCTCACTGTTCTGGGTAAGTTGAGGCCACCAGCAGCCTCCTCTTACCCCTCCACCAAAAATCCTGAGTCTGGATTGTCTTTCCAATGTCCCCATCACCCCCCCCCCTCCATCTGGGACCGGCCCCTCACCTTCCAGAGTCTGTCTCTGCCTCCACCTTTGCTTCCCCCCATCCTCCACCTCCACCCCCCAGCCTTGGTTTAATTGCCTGCACTGAAGTCAGGCCAGGGCACTGTCCCTGAGCGTTTTCATTCAAGGCTGGCACTCTACCACCTGAGCCACAGCTCCACTGCCGGCTTTTTGCTGGTGAATTGGAGCTAATCCACACGGACTTTTTTTTTTTTTTGCCCCGGCCGGCTTCGAACCGCCATCCTCGGATCCGGATCCACCCTTGCAACCCCAATTCTGCATCCGGCTCCGCCCCTCCGGGGGTTCCCACCTACCCACCGGGGCTCTGACCCCTCCCCGCCCGTCCCGGCGCAGGAACGGGAGCCTGGAGCCCGCGGCCGAGTGGATGGCCGTGCTGGGCGTGCACTCCCAGGACGGGCCCCTGGAAGGCGCGCACGTCCGCGCCGTGGCCGCCATCCTCGTGCCGCCCAACTACAGCAAAGTGGAACTGGGCGGCGACCTGGCCCTGCTGCGCCTGGCCTCGCCCGCCAGGCTGGGCCCCGTCGTGCGGCCCGTCTGCCTGCCCCGCGCCTCGCACCGCTTCGCCCACGGCACCGCGTGCTGGGCTACCGGCTGGGGGGACGTCCAGGAGGCGGGTGAGTGGGGCGGGTCCCCACGAGAGCCACAGCCGCCAGGGCGTCCTTGCAGCGTGTCCTATAGGCCGGACAGCGCTTTGTGGGCGGGGCCTATCGTGTGGGTGGGGCCTCGGGGGCGGAGCGAGGTCTGGCTGTGGTGGTCTGGACCCGGCGGATCGTTGTGGGCGTGTCTACCTGGTTATGGGCGGTGGCCTGTTCGTGGTGGGCGGAGCCACGGCTTGCTGCGGCTGGACCGCTGGAAATTTCCGCAGCAACCACCTTCGGTCCTCCTCCACTTCCTCCTCCTCCCCGCCTCCGGAGTGCTGAAATCGACACTAGGGCCGCAGCCCCACGCCCTCCGGTCCGCCTCGCCATTTCTCCCAGTTGTTCTCTTTAGGGATTTAGGTCTGGCTCGGGTACCCATCTTGTTTCAGGCAAAGTGTTTTCTCCCACTCCCATTTCTCCTCCGTTAGTACAGGAAAACAGTACTGTACACATCGTGAGGTTGTTGGGTTGTTAGATGAGAAAGACCGTGTGGAGCTGATGACAACAGCGCCCAGCGGAGCCATAATTAATACGGTTTAGATGTTCTTACCTTCAGTAATCCATGTTAAAAGCATCAGAAGATAAGCAAATGTTCCTGCCCTCCTCCCTTCCTCCCTCCCTCTCTCTTCCTGCCATTCTGTCTCCCCTCCTGCTCCTCCTGGCTTACCTACACTCATTGTTTCTGTGTTTCTTTCTTTCTAGGAAGTGTTAGGGCTTTGCTACACCAGTCAGTGAGTGTCCAAAACAAATCTGCTTTCCTAGAGTTTACACTTTACTAGACGGGTAGAAAACAAATTCAGGCTGGGCACTGAATTTGTAGCTGGGATTACAGTCGTAATCTTAGCTTATCAGGAGGCTGAAATCTGAGGATCAAAGCCCAGACAGGAAAGTCTTTGAGACTGTTATCTCCAATTAACTACCAGAACGCCAGAAGTGGAGCTGTGGTTCAAAGTGTTGGAGAGCTAGCTTTTGAGCTGAAGCTCAGGGACAGTGCCCAGGCCCTGAATTCAAGCCCAATGACTGATTAAAAAAAAAAAATCCAATAAATAAGCAGCACTATATTCGAAGGTGAGGCAGAGAGAGAGAGAGAGAGACTACTTTTTTGTGTGTGTGTACCAGTACTGAGACTTGAATTCAGAGCCTGAGCACTGTCCCTTAGCTTTTTCCTCCATGCTGGTGCTCTACTACTTGAACCACACCTTCACATCCAGCTTTTCCGGCTAACTGGAGATAACAATCTCACATACTTTTCTGATTGGGCTGGCTTCAAACCCTGATCTTCAGATCTTAGCTTCTTGACTAGTATTATAGGTGTGAGCCACTAGTATCCAACTTATATGGTACAATACACTAGGACAGGACTCTGCGTTTAATGATCTTAGTTCCTACATATCTTTTGGTGTTTGGTTGGGGATCTTTTGCCCAGTGTACCACCTGTACCACAGCTGAGGCTGTGCCGGAAATGAAGACCTTAGAAAAAAGCAAATAGGACAAAGAGGAAATGTGATGGGTGGGGTGGGCCTAAGTGCCATGGGGCATCTAGAAGGAGACATGCATGTGGCAGCTGGAAGGGATGAAGCTGAGAATTTCCAAAGGGAAATGGAATGTTACTGCTTGAGTATCTGCTCTCTGGTTCTGTCCCCAGACCCTCTGCCCCTCCCATGGGTGCTGCAGGAAGTGGAGCTAAGGCTGCTGGGAGAAGCTGCCTGTCAGTGCCTCTTCAGCAGGAGAGGCCCCTTCAACCTCACATTACAACTACTGCCGGGGATGCTTTGTGCTGGCTACCCAGAGGGCCGGAGGGATACCTGCCAGGTAAGGCAAGGCCCTGCACCTACCTACTTGGAAGACCAGCTCCCTAAATCCCTAACCTATAGGAACCAGCTAAGGAATAGACAGAAACTACCCTGAACCTCCTCTGCAAAAAAGGCAAGATTGCCAAGTGCCAGTGGCTCATGCCTGTAATCCCAGCTATTCAGGAGGCTGAGACCTGAGGATCGTGGTTCAAAGCCAGCCCAGGCAGGAAAGTCCATGAGAGTCTTATTTCCAATGAACTACCAGAAAACTGGAAGTGGCACTGTGGCTCAAGTGGTCGAGTGCTAGCCTTGAGCTGAAGAGCTGAGGGACAGCGCCCAGGCCCAGAGTTCAGGCCCCACAACCAGACCCCCCCCCCAAAAAAAAAAAAAAAAGTCCACGAGACTCATCTTCAACTAATCAGCCAAAAGCTGGACATAGAGGTGTGGTTCAAGTGGTAGAGTGCCAGCTGAGCAAGGCAGATGAGCAAGCAACCCATGCAAGTGTAAGGTCCTCAGTACAAACACCAGTAATACATACGTATGTGTATGATACACAGAAAAAGTTGGAGCTATTTAGAAATCTTAGATATACCAGAACAATTTCTCACATAAAGAATCATTTGAGGGGCTGGGAAGGTGGCTCAGTGGTAGAGCGCTTGCCTTGCATGCCTGAGGTCCTGGGTTTGATTCCCCAGCACCACATAAGCAAAAAGAAAAAAAGCCAGAAGTGGCGCTGTGGCTCAAGTGGTAAAGCACTAGCCTTGAGCTGAAGAGCTGAGAGACAGTGCCCAGGCCCAGAGTTCAGGCCCCATGACTGGACCCCCCCCCCCCCCCAAAGAAAAGAATCATTTGAAAACCAGGCATGGTGATTCACACCTGTAATTCTAGTTACTCAGGGGACTGAGATCTGAGGATGGGATGTTCAAAGCTAGCCAGGGCAGAAAAACCTCTTGAGATTTTTGTCTCTAATTAATCAGCAAAAAGCCAGTAGTGGAGGTATGGCTCAAGTGGTAGAATGCCACCATTGAGTGAAAAAGCCAAGGGAGGGCACAAAGCAGGGCACAATGCCAAATTCAGGCCCCAGTGCTGGCATGACCACATGCACACGCGCGCGCACACGCGTTTCTGAATAAGCCTGTAGGATTCTCCTATGCTGCCTTTAATTCCTTAGATGTAGGACTGGGGCTGAGGATGTGGCTCAGTGGTAGAGGGCTTGCCTAGCATGCATGAAGCCCTGGATTCAATTCCTCAGTACCACATAAACAGAAAAAGCTGGAAGTGGTGCTGTGGCTCAAGGGGTAGAGTGCTAGCCTTGAGTACCAAGAGAGCTCAGAGACAGATCCCAGGCCCAGAGTTCAAGCCCCATGACTGGCAGAGAGAGAGAGAGAGAGAGAGAGAGAGAGAGAGAGAGAGAGAGAGCTTTGTTGTAAGGTTAATATAAACTTATGGGTCCTTGGATTGATATGCTAACAAAAGCTCTCTATCTTTAGGGTGACTCTGGGGGACCCCTGGTCTGTGAAGAGGGCGGCCGCTGGTTCCAGGCGGGGATCACTAGCTTTGGCTTTGGCTGTGGCCGAAGGAACCGCCCTGGGATCTTCACTGCTGTGGCACCCTATGAAGCATGGATCCGAGACCACGTGAGCGGCTCCCAGCCCGGGCCTACCTTTCCCAAACAGCCCCAGGAGCCCCAGCCTGGCCCGGGGGAGCCCAGGGAAGAGAACTGCACCATCGCCCACCCAAGTGAGCGCAGAACCCTTGGACACGAAGAGGCTGGAGTTGGGATGGAGTAGGGTGGAGCAGGTTGTGAAACCAGGCTCCCACCCTGATCCAGAACTCTAACCCCTCTCAGCGTGTGGAAAAGCTCCACAACCAGGAGCCTGGCCCTGGGAGGCCCAGGTGATGGTGCCGGGATCCAGACCTTGCCATGGGGCGCTGGTGTCTGAAAGCTGGGTCTTGGCACCTGCCAGCTGCTTTCTGGAGTGAGTGAGAAGCCACCTATCGGGCAGATCTTGCCCCCCCCCCTCCCTATCCCCAATCTACTTGGCTCTCTGCTCTGGGGTTGGAGGGTTCTTAAGTCTGGAACGCAGAACCCCATTCGGAGGTTCGGGATCCAGCACCAGGAGTGGTCTGGGGCCGACAGGTGGAGCTGGAACAAAAGTTGCACACGCGGGGCTGGGGCGGGGGCGATCCAAGGCTGGTGGAAGGATCCCAGCCTGCAGATGCATGCACACGCCTGGGAGGCGAAGTTTGCAGCTGTGCCCGTGTGGAGATGTGTGTGGCCCAGGTCCTCCGCCTCCCCATCCCGCAGCCCAGCCCGCGACCTGGAGGCCTGGCGCGTGCTGCTGCCCGCGCGGGCGCGCGCGGAGCGGGTGGCGCGCCTGGTGCCGCACGAGAACGCCTCGTGGGACGACGCCGCCGACCTGGCGCTGCTGCAGCTGCGCGCACCCGTCAACCTGAGCGCGCTCCCGCGGGCCGTGTGCCTGCCCCACCCGGAACACTACTTCCTGCCGGGGAGTCGCTGCCGCCTGGCTCGCTGGGGCCGCGGGGGTACGCGCGGGGTGGCGGCGGAGATGGGAGTGGCGGGAGTCAGATCGGCCGCTCCCCACCCCTCGTGACGCCGCTGGTTCCCGGCCTTCCCCCCCCCCCCTCAGGTCCTGCGCTGGGACCCGATACGCAGCTGGAGGCCGAGCTACTGAGCGGCTGGTGGTGTCATTGCCTGTACAGCCGCCAGGGGGCGTCAGTGCCGCTACCGGGAGACCCGCCCCACGCGCTATGCCCTGCCTACCAGGAGGAAGAGGAGGCGGGCCGATGCTGGGTGGGCGGGGTCTGCGGCACCCGGAGAGCGGGGCGGGGCGTCGGGGCGTGGCCAGAACGAGCTGGGGGCGGGGTCTGAGGCCAGCTCCTGGAATAGGTGTTTAGGTTTCCCTCCGCCCCTTAAATTTAGGGAATACGCCTCCTCTAGGGAGGGCAGAATTCTTACCGGGATTGTTACCGGAGCCTGGTTTGGTGGAAGTGGGACTTTGCTTCGGGCCATCAGGAATCTAGGAACCGCCCGGAGCGCAGACATTTGTCTAGATGAGCGATTGCTAAATGACACCCTTTTGCAGAATGACTCCAGTTGGAGCCTCCTGTGTCGGGAGGAGGGAACCTGGTTTCTGGCTGGTCTCAGAGATTCCTTCAGTGGTTGTCTCCGCCCGCGTGCCTTCTCCCCACTGCAAACCCACGGCCCATGGATCAGCCATGTCACGCGGGGAGCCTACCTGGAGGACCAGCTAGCCTGGGACTGGGGTCCTGAAGGGGAGGAGACTGTAACCCAGACTTGTCCCCCTCGCACAGTGCATGGTGGTGAGCCATGTGCTCCCGAGGCTTAGGAATTCCGGAGGTGTTCTGCTCCACGGAAGGGGGTCCTGTACTAAGACAGCCATTTCCTCTCCCTAGCCTGTGGCCTGCGGCCAGAGGCTCCTCCCAGCAGAGTATTGTGGCCCTGGTTGGCAGAAGTGCATGTGGCTGGCGATCGAGTCTGCACTGGCATCCTCGTGGCCCCAGGCTGGGTGCTGGCAGCCACTCATTGTGTCCTCAGGTGCGTCTCCCTGGTGTCCTGAGCAAGGAAGAGGCAGTAGGGAACACATAGCAAGTGGATCAAAGAACTCTTACAATAAGATGTTCTCCCTTTCCTGGCACACTGGTGGCTTACACCTGTAATCCTAACTGCCACTCTGAGGATCACAGTTCAAAGGTAGCCCAAGCAGAAAAGTCTGTGAGACTCTTATCTGCAACTAACTAGCAAAAAATGAAGTGGAGGTGTGGTTCAAGCAGGAGAACACCAGCCTACCGCTTTTGTTAATGTTTTGGTTTGGATTGGCCTTTTTGTGTGAGGTTTTATGTGTATGTGTGTGTATGTGCAAGTGTGTACATGTACATATATGTACCAGTACTGGGGCTTGAACTCAGGGCCAGGGCACTACCTTTGCTTTTTTTTGCCCAAGGCTAGTGCTCTACCACTTTCCTGGCATTGAACTTCAATCCTCAGATCTCAGCCTCCATAGTAGCTAGGAGTACAGGTGTGAGCCACTGGTGCCTGGTACTGTGTAAGATGTTTTAAGATAGAAGAGAGATTTGGAAGGAGAGGTCATGGAGGATTTATGGAGTGCTCTTAAAGTTTCTATTCTCTTTGGACTGAGGGTTTTTCCAGCGGCAATGGGAAGACTAGGAGATGACACTGGTCTCTGTTCCAACAGGCTGGGCTCCACAACTGTGCCGTACATTGAAGTGTATCTGGGCCGTGCAGGGGCCAGCCCCCTCCCACACAGCCACCCAGTTTCCCGATCTGTCATCAGCATCCGCTTGCCCAGGCACTTAGGACTTAGGCCTCCTCTGGCTCTCCTGGAGCTGAGCTCTCGGGTAGAACCCTCCCCATCAGCCCTCCCCATTTGCCTTCACCCCAGAGGTGTCCCCCCAGGATCCAGCTGCTGGGTGCTGGGCTGGAAGGACCTCCAGGACCGAGGTGAGAGCCCTGAGCCATGGGAATGAAGAGTGACTGGAGGCCAGGACCCTGGGACAACTCTCTTTCCTCTTTAGTCCCGGTGGCTGCTACGGTCTCCATTTTGACACCACAACTGTGCCATTGCCTGTATCAGGGCATTCTGCCCCCTGGGACTCTCTGTGTCCTCTATGCACAAGGAGAAGAAGACAGGTGTGAGGTACAGAGGCCTGGGCATTATGGAGGAGGAAGGGGAGAGAGAACACTGGGCATCTAAACCCTTAAAAGACCAGGATTGGGATTCTTAGGTATTGGGTGCCAAAGGGGAAGAAATAATATTTGCTGGCAGGATCTTAAGAGAGACCTAGGATCAGGATGCCAAAAATAGACAAGCCCAGTACTTGGTGGCTCATGCCTGTTATCCTAGATACTCAGGAGGCTGAGATTTGAGGATCAGTATTTGAAGCCAGATTGAGCAGACAAATCTGAGAGGTTTACCTCCAACTCACCAGCAAAAGACCCAGGACTAACATACACATACACAAGCCAAGCAAGAGCAGGAGGCCCTGAGTTCTAGCCCCAGTACTGGCATTAAAAAAAAAAAAAAAGACAAGCAAGCAGTGCCTTGTGATTGACAGGTACAGGGCCCCCTGAGGAAGAGCACCACCCATTTGGTCTGTTGGCTCCAACTCTGCAGGTGGCCTCAGCACCTCCACTCCTGTGCCAGACTGAGGGAGGATCCTGGGTCCTCATGGGCATGGCTGTCCGAGGGAGCAACGAACTGTTTGCAGCCATTGGCCCTGAAGAGGCGTGGATCTCCCAAACTGTGGGCGAGGCCCATATCCTACCGCACAGTGGCGCCCCCTACTGGTCACCCGGTGGTAGCAACCTCTGTCCCCCAGACATGGCTGGAGCCTCAGGCTCTGCTCCAGCTGCTGCTTTGTTCCTACTCTTACTGCCTCCCCTAATCCAGGGCTGAGAGGGAGGGCCTGGTGCCCAGAATCATTTCTTCCCTACCATTCAGCAGTGCTGGAATGTGGCCCAACCGGCTCTCTCCCAGGCCTGGAGAGGACCTTGTGCACTTAGACTACAGCAGCCTCCAGATACCTGCGCTGGCTATTTTGGGCCCAGGAATCTTGGGAGGGTGATGTGGAGCAGCAGACAATAAAGGCGTGAACCCCAACACGTGGCCTTGTGGCATCATTGGCGGCTAGCGAGGGGGCTGAGAGCAGCCGAGTGAAGACCAGAGATGGGGCTCCTCCCTCCTCTTGAGTCAGGCCTTGGGCTCCCAGGAAATATGTGTCTGATAACGTGGCAGCAATTCCCTCATTCTTGCCCCTGGGCGGGGGAGGTTAGGTGGACAGCTGGTCGTGTGTCACCTCCCCAGTGGAATTAAGTGTCCCCAATTGCACCTACAGTGTACCTCAGCCCTGGCTCACCCCTCCCATAGAGCAGAGAGACTTAGGGTGAGAAAGCCAGTTCCCCAAACACATGCTTTGATGGATACCCCAAAATGTGTACACTTAAAGATCATCAACAAACGCATGTCATCCACTTATAAATCCTACCACCTCCCGGTGGGGCTTCCTGCATTAATTCAACCCGAAGTATCAGCTGTCATGCACATGTGTGTATGCGTGTCACACACACACACACACCCCTGTGACCATTCCCCAATTACTGCCAGCGTGGTGAGGAATGGAAGGTGGAGGAAGGATGCTAAAAGGAACTGAAGTTCAAACACAGATGAACGGCAGCCAATGTGGATGGTACAGGGGCCTACTTTTTGTGTATGAGTACTGGTCTTGAGACTCGAACTCAGGGCCTGGGTGCTATCCCTAAGCATTGTTTTTCTTCAAGGTGAGTGCTCTACCACTTGAACCACCATGCCACTTCCAGCTTTTTTGCTGGTTAATTAAAGATAAAGAGTCAGGGATTTTCCTGCTCAGATTGGCTTCAAGCCAGGATCCTCAGATCTTGAGTAGCTAGGACCACAGATGTGACTATTGATTTAAGTTTGTCCTCACTGTAAATCCAGGAGGCTATGGAGGGCATCTACTTCATCCCCTGGGCCTGGAGTACACTCAGCACCCATAGTAAATACTTGCGGGATGATTAGCACTATGCTCACCATTCTTGGGAAGGCTTGTAGGCTTTATAGAAAAGGCCTGGGATGGTCATGGGGAGAGGCAGCCTCCAGTGTCCTAGGTAGGCTCTGCTGGCTGCCAGACCTAAGGATAAGGAAGGGAGAAGGGGCTGTGGCTTCACTGACAAAGGCTTAGCCAGGCCTTGGGGTGCTCAGTATGGGAAAGACACCTGGGGACAGTCAGATAACTCTTGCAGTTTCTAGCCAGGCCTGCTTGGATGGCCAGCCTCCTGTCTTCCCCTCCCCCTACAGAGCAGCTGGAGGGAGGGGGGGGGAGGAGGGGGGGGGTGTCTGAAAGGACTAGGACTTTGAAGGCAAGAAAAGTAAGCAGTGCTAAGTCCCAGGTAGCTAAATCCAGGAGGGCGGGGCTGAGGGAGGAGCTGGCAGGTAGCTGCCTTTACCCGGGAAGCCGCCACTCACAGAAGGTATCTGCGTGGCTAGGCTGTACCTGAGACAGTTTCCACCCTGGTGGCTACCTCAAGGTAGCCTCCCCCCGCCCCCCTCCCATTACCCGAGAAGCTAGCCTTGGACACCTGCTCTGCCTTTCCAGTCTGGGATCTGGGATTCCTTCTTTTTGAAGCCAACCACTGGATCCTACCTTTTGAAAAGCAGCACTAGGTTCCAGCCCTCTCTTGCTCCGTGTCTCCCTCGAGGGCCTCAGTCCTGGGCCATGGCCCGACGGGCAGGCCTGGGGCTTGGGCAGCAGCTGCAAGTTTTGGCCTTTCTGCTTTTTGTTGAGTTATTCCAGTCTGGGACAGGTGAGTATAGATGAGTAGGGTGGGGAGCTGACATAATCCTTTCTGGGTCCATTCCTGCTGGGCTCAGGAATTCCCAGGTGGCGTCCCTTTGTCCCCAGGTCCCTGGGGAGGGGGTAGGTGCTGAAGAGCCTGGAAACTCTCTGGCTCTCCCTACTCACCCCTCCCTTTTTCTCTTTCCAGGAGCTGCCCAGGCTGAAGGTAAGGCTTGCTGGGGAAAATGGGAAGGGAGAAGAGTGGGGGTAGACCAGGATTCAAATTCCCTGGTGGGTTGGAGGAGCACCTGACACCCTGATGGGCTGTCTTGCCCTGCCTTAAGTCTCCCGGTAGCCTTGTGAGTGGAGGGAATGATAGCCTTGATGTGTGTGTGTGTGTGTGTGTGTGTGTGTGTCTGAGCACTGTCTCTGAGCTTTTTTTTTTCTCAATGCTAACATTCTACCACTTGAGCCACAGCCCCATTTCCAGCTTTTTGCTGGTTCATTGAAGAGAAGAGTCTCACAGACTTTCCTGCCCTGGCTATTTTCAAACCATGATCCTCAGATCCCAGCCTCCTAAGTAGCTAGCCTGGTTAGCCTTGACTTTATGGAAAGAAACTGAGGCACAGGAATGGTGCAAATGAATTTAAGCCTGTGTCTGACTCCCACAGTGGACCCCGGTGGGGGGGGGGGGGTGGGCGGGGTACCCAGGGAAGATTTTCAGCTCTGGGTCAGACCAGTTTTCAGTGCAGATTGTACTATGAAGTGGCCACATCTTCTCAACTCTCCAAGCCCAGTGTTTCTTCCACTTAAAATGTCTTATCTCCTAGGGCTGTAGTGAGGATTCCCAAAGAGAAGGCCGAGCAAGTGAAAGCCTCACTGGAGCCTGTACGCTCTAAATAGTAGCTATTGTCTTGATTATGAGGAAGTGGAGGTGGGGGAGGAGGAGGCTGGCTGGCTGGCGCTCTCTCTGCTCCAAGGAAGGTCATCTTGTGTGGAGTAGTGGACTCCACTCCAAACTATGGCCTCAGTGGGAGCAAACTTGGGGCTGGCTTGGGAAATAACTGTTCACATCTTGGGAACCAAGTTGTGTGTGTTTTCATCCTCAGCCTCATCCACCAAAGCCCAAGGTGGGTGTTGAGGGCATGGGGGGTTATTCCTAAGGAAGGCTCAGGCCAAGGTGGTTTGCAACAATTAAGACACAACAATTCTAATTCTGGGCAGTGTGGGAACTTTCCTCCTCCCACTTGGGGCAACTCCAGCTTGACTTGGCAGGATCAAGCAAGGCAGGATGATCTTTGGACACCCCCCCTACCCCACCAGCTGAGCAGAGCAAAGGCTGGAGGGAGGGAAAGGCTTTCCAGGGTGAGCTCCAGGACTGGCCGATTTACTTGACAGGACAGGAACGCTGTGGGAGATCTGGCAGGGATCCGAAGGTTCAGGAGGCCAGATCTGTGCAGATGATTGGCTGTGAGGCCTCAAGTAGAAAGAGGACAGTGGATAGATAGCAAGAGACAGAACTGCTCATGTGTGGTGAGCTATGCATGGTGATTGCAGGGTATCTGTGAACCCAGGTTCTAAACTATCTGGAATCTGTCAAGTGTGACAGGGCTGAAGACTTGGTTGGTGTGTGTGTGTGTGGGGGGGGACCAGAAAAGTTTGATTCCACATTCCCTTCCTCCCTGCCAGCAGTGTGTGGTGTCATCTCCCAGGCTCGGATCACGGGGGGCAGCAGTGCGTCCCCTGGGCAATGGCCCTGGCAGGTCAGCATCAACTACAATGGAGACCATGTGTGTGGCGGGTCCCTCGTGTCTGACCAGTGGATACTGTCAGCAGCTCACTGCTTCCCCAGGTATCAGCTGGGGCAAGGGGGAGGGAGGGAGGGACATGTCCAAAGTAGGCTGGATGTCAAAGTTCATGGGTCAGGGCTGGGAAGGTGGCTCAGTGGTAGAGTGCTTGCCTTGCATGCATGAGGCCCTGGGTTCAATTCCTCAGTACCACATAAGCAGACAAAGCCAGAAGGGGCACTATGGCTCAAGTTCATGGGTCAATTCAGGTCAGATGCTGAAGTGCTTGGGTCAGGTGAAGGGGAGTCTGGAGGTCAGCTTCCCTAGACAACCATCTGGGGCAGGATTCCAAGAGACAGCAGGGTGAGGGAGAGAAGGGGGGGGCGGTGGTCCCAGCTTTTGTCCCTCTGCCTGCAGAGAGCACTCCAGAGAGGACTATGAGATCAAGCTGGGAGCCCACCAGCTGGATGTTTACAGCCAGGATGCCGAGGTCCGCATGGTGGCTCAGATCATCTCCCACCCCAGCTACCGTGAGGAGGGCTCAGAGGGCGACATCGCGCTGGTGCGCCTCAGCAGCCCCGTGACTTTCTCTCGTCATATCCGGCCCATCTGCCTGCCGGCTGCCAACGCCTCCTTCCCCAACGGCCTCCGCTGTACGGTCACTGGATGGGGCCATGTGTCCCAATCAGGTGAGATGCATACTGGGTGCTGAGGGGATTGCCTGATCAGGGTAGGAGGCCCTGGGTGAGCCCCTTCTGTTCCCCACAGTGAGCCTCCAGTCCCCCAGGCCTCTGCAGCAGCTGGAGGTGCCACTGATCAGCCGGGAGACTTGCAGCTGCCTTTACAACATTGGGGCCAAGCCTGAGGAGCCCCACGTCCTGCTGCAGGACATGCTGTGTGCCGGCTATGTGGAGGGCCGCAAAGATGCCTGCCAGGTGGGGACCTGGCAGGAGGGAGGGCTGGATGGGGCTGGCGCATGTGCAGTGCCTGGGCTTGACAGCTGTCATGCCTTTTCTCTCCAGGGCGACTCTGGGGGCCCGCTCTCTTGCTCTGTGGAGGGCCTCTGGTACCTGGCTGGCATTGTGAGCTGGGGTGATTCCTGTGGAGCCCCCAACAGGCCTGGAGTATACACTATGACTTCCAGCCATGCCTCCTGGATCCACCACCATGTGGCAGAACTGCAGCCTCGGGTGGTGCCCCAAACCCAGGAGTCCCAGCCTGATGGCCACCTCTGCAACCACCGCTCAGCCTTCAGCTCTGCTCCAGCCCAGAGCTTACTAGGAGGGCCTGTCCTCCTCCTGCCGCTGGGCCTGATGCTCAGCTTCTTCTACCCTTGACGTGAGCGCTTCTTTACCCTGGAAGCTGACCTCCCCTTCCAGGACCAAGGACACGTTCCTGTTCACAAGGAAGGACCTGGGCCCGGGCCTGGCCACCAGGGCTCTGCTGGAGGCCAGGCACTATCCTGATCTTTGAGCCTATTTTTCTGGATTTCTTCTCTGGGAGTATAACCTCGGATCAAGAGTGTCAAGGCCTGTGGTACTGGCTAGAACCTGGGTTCCCAGGAACTCACAAGAAGCCTCAGTTGTGAAAAGGAGCCCTAGCTTCTAGCCCGTTTCTAGAAGATTGGGCAGCTGCCCGCTGCTGCTGAAGGCTGGCCCACCCTCCCTGCCTGATGAGCCCATCATTCAGCCTGCTCTTCCTGTGCTCTGAGTTTGCCTGCGCCTGCCATGGGAAAGGCCCCAATCTTGCCCCATTGCCTCTGAGTTCCTCTTAAGCCCTGACTCCCGGACTCCGGAGGACTGAGCCCCCACCGGAGCTGGCTGGGGCTTGGGTCAGGGTGGGAACAGGAGGAGTAAAGTGTTCTGAGCATGGCCCGTTGTGTGTGAAGTGAGCGGCGACATCTCTCGGCGTCTCCGTCCCACTTGGGAAGTCCCGAGCCACCAGCAGAATTCACTTTATTAAAAAATGAAGAAACAGGTCTGTACATTATTTACAGAGCAGGGAGGCAGGGGTCCCGGATGCAGCAGCGGGGGCATGCATGCTCACTTCTTGGAGAGTTTGACTTGCTTGTGCTTGGGCGGAGCCCATTTGAGGCAGACAGAGTCCACTGTGGGGAGAAGACCCATTGAGCAGCAGCAGGCAGGGCGGCCCAGGCCTACGCACACCTGCTGTGCTCAGGCCAGGTTTCACCTCCTCCAGGTGAGAACACAAGGGTGGGGGCAGGGAAATCCAGGAATGAGTGGCCTGCCCTAGGCTTCAGTGCTGTGAGCTGGTCAGACTGGTTTGCGATCACGCGACCAAAAAACCAAGAAGTTTGGCTGCTAGCCATTGCACTTACCGCCCTCTCCCAGGACGCACACATGTGTGTGCCCCCCCCCCACAGCTGTAGCCCCCCTACCCACCTGTAATGGGTGGTTTCTTATACTGGGCGCTTTTCAGGTGCTCCTCCACCAGTTTGGGCGTGACACAGATCACATGCTGGCCCTTCCAGTACTTGACCATATTGAGGGACTGCAGGGTACTGATGATGTCATTCTGGGTGATACTGGTCATTTGGCTGTAGGGAGGATTGGAGCAGATAGTGGTGAGGGCCAACATGCCAAAGAGGCAGGATCCACGGCCCATCTTGGCCCTGTGCCAGAGGGCTCCTGCGTGGCTCTCGCAAGGTCCTCGGGCATGATTAGAACCAGGGCCCTCACCTGAGGTCTTTAATGGACAATGTGCCACGAAAGTCTCGCAGGATCTCCAGCAGGACCCAGGACCAGTAGCTGCGGTAGCTGAGCTTGCCCAGGTCAGAGAGCGGCTTCTCTGGGGAGCCGACTGTGCTCTCCAGCTTGGAGAGCTCATAGCCTGGCAGGAATGGGGCGGAGAGTCCTGAGGGACTGCCACCCCCAAACCCAGCATCACAGATGCCCTCCCTTAGGTAGGCCAAGAAACACTCACTGAACGCAATGAGAAACTTCCCGTAGCCACGGCGCTGGTAAGGGGGCAGGGTCAGGATGCAAGCCACATTGTTTCCATCTGGGGACTCCTTCTCCTGCAGGGGGTGGATGCTCAGGACCTTTGGTTGGTGGTGGGGGCTCAAGTTTATTCCCCCCTCCTCCCTCCCCCTCAACCTGGGCTTCCACATCCAGTACCTTGGAGAAGTAACCCACGATGTGAGCCCCTTGCCTGTCCACCTCAGTCAAGATGTAAAAGACGAAGGGCTCCACATCGAAGTACAATGTCTTGTGGTCGAGGAAAAGCTTGGCCAGCAGACACAAGTTCTGACAATAAATCTGAGGGTGGGGAAGGTAGGAAGGGGTCAGCAGGCAGAACGCTGCCCTCATCCAACTGAGTAGGAGCAGCTGATGGGTGAGAAAGCTGAAAATCAGAGCTATTAGCACTCTGAAGGTTATGGACAAGCCAGGCTAACTGTGGCTGCTCCCCCCGCCCCCCCTGCCCCTTTTTTAAATTCTTTGTCAGTCCTGGGGCTTGAACTCCAGTCCTGGGAGCTGTCCCTGAGTTTTTTTTGCTCAAGGCTAGTGTTCTACCACTTTGAGCCACAGCTCCACATCCAGTTTTCTGGTGGTTAACTGAGAGAAGAGTCTCCAGGACTTCCCTGCCCAGGCTGGCTTGGAATGGTGATACTCAGATCTCAGTCTGAGTGGCTAGGATTATAGGCGTGAGGCACTGGTCCCTGGCTAAATGGCTGGCCCTTTGAGGGCAAAGTACAGGCTAGGCATTTTCCATGTATAATGTGTGTGTGTGTTTGTGTTTATGCATGCCAGTACTGAGGCTTGAACTCAGGGTACGGGCACTATTCCTTAGCTTTTTTGCTCAAGGCTGAAACTGTACCAATTGAAGCTTAGCTCCCTTCCTGACTTTTTGGTGCTTAACTGGACACAAGAGTTTCATAGAATTCCCTGCCTTGGCTAGCTTCAAACTGCCATCTCAGATCTCAGTCTCCTCTGAGTTGCTAAGATTACAGGTGTGAGCCACTGGCACCTGGCTACTAGTTCAACCTTTACTGATTCAAAACAGGAAACAGGCTCAGAAGTAAGCAACTACCCAGAGGTTCTCTGAGTGCCAGGGAAAGAATTTCCACTGGCATGTGACCTCTGCCTTGTTTGTTCATGGCTCGGCTGCAGTGCCTGGCATGAGGCTAAGCATGAAGCTATGGCTGCTGACGGTCTCCACATCTGCTGTCTCACTGACCCTGGGCGGAGCAGGCAGCTCAAGGCGGTGTTGCCTGGAGGCTGTAGGGCACCCACCTTGCCAGTGGGAGTCTCTTTCTTTCTTTCTTTTGAACAGTCAATGGGGCTTAAACTCTGGGCCTGGGCACTGTCCCTCAGCTCTTCAGCTCAAGGCTAGTGCTCTACCACTTGAGCCACAGCACCACTTCTGGTTTTCTGGTGGTTTATTGGAGATAAGAGTCTCATGGACTTTCCTGCCCGGGCTGGCTTTGAACCTCGAATCTCAGATATCAGCCTCCTGAGTAGCTAGGGTTACAGGTGTGAGCCACCAGCACCTGGCAGGAGGCCTTTCTTTCAGCACCAGTACATGCTCAGGAAGGCAGAGTGCCAGGCAAGGACTAGGGTGGAAGTGGGGACTTCCTAGCATAAGGAAGCCTGGTGACCTAGGTCACCACCACCAAAGTCCATGCTTTCTAAGCACCTGCAAGGTGCCACCCAAGTGTGACATTCTAGATACCTGCAGTCTCATTTCTTCTACCAATAAACAGACTAGGTAAATCATTCTGACTCCTGTGTTAGGGATGAGGAAATAGGAACAGATCAAAGTGAACTAGGTTTTCTAAGGTCAACCCCCAAGTGAAGAGCAAAGCGAACCAGGGGCTGCCCCCAGGCCTGCCCTTATCAACTTGTACTACGAGGCCCTTCTAAGGGAAACTAGACACAGGGTGGGGTCTGCTCAGACTGACCAGGCCTCTTCCCCACCCCACGGAAGTCACTCAGCCACAACAAGGAACTCAGCTAGCTGGAGCCACAGACACAAAGCAGCTCCCTCCTAGGCACACCAAACTCCTTCCTTCAGGAAGAGAAAGCTGTCCCAGAGCAGCCTCAGGCAAGACAGCTTCCATTCTGAGTTCTGAAACAACTCAAATCTGAACTACCCCATCAGAAGAGAAGTCCTCAGGGACAAAGGAGACAGGGCCTGAGGCTGGCAGCACGGGCCCAAGTGTTCACTCTGTGCGAATCACAAGCCTGTTTCCTCATGGAAGCGCACCTGGGGCTGGACAGTGCCCGGGGGTGGCCGCGACAGTCAGCCAGGCAGTTGCCCACAGACCTTCAGCACCAAGCCACCAGCTCACCTTATGGTCTTTGCCATCTACCTCATACACGGAGATGTTGCTCTTTCGGTAGATCTCCTTCCCTGGGGGCTGCCGCCATTGACACTGGCCCTGGGGGAGGGGGAGAAAGCATAGACTCAGGACCCTTAAGTTCTCTGTTAGTGCAAGAGACTTGGAGCAAGTCCCTGCCTCTCCTTCCCCATCTGCAGACGCTGGGTTCAAACACTACCTATTTTGAGTAGTCTTCCTTGCTCTCTACATCTGGAAAACAGGATCTCTTTCCAAGCTCGGCACAGACAGGCTGATAATTTGCTTGTGCATCACAGCTACCTGAACTCAATTCTGTGTTGACCTAGCTCTAAAAAGCTTGGGCCTGGAGTTTGAACTCAGGGCTTGGGGCACTATTCTTGAGCTCTTTTGCTCAAGGTAAACAATCTACCACTTGAGCCATAGCTCTACTTCTGGCTTTTTTCTTTTTTTTTTTTGGTTGGTCATGGGGCCTGAACTGTGGGCCTGGGCGCTGTCCCTCTGCTCTTCAGCTCAAGGCTAGTGCTCTACCACTTAAGCCACAGCACCATTTCCGGCTTTTTTCTTTTTTTGCTTATGTGGTGCTAAGGAATGGAACCCAGGGCCTCATGCATGCAAGGCAAGCACTCTACCACTGAACCACCTCCCCCGCCCCCTGGCTTTTTTTTTTGACAATTAATTGGAGATAAAAGTCTTATGGAGCTGGGCACGAGTGGCTCACACCTGTAATCCTAACTACTTGGGAGGCTGAGATCTGAAGATCTCGGTTCAAAGCCAGCCTAGGCAGCAAGGTCTGTGAGACCCACTATCTCCAATAAACCACCATAAAACCAGAAGTGGCGCTGTGGCTCAAGTGGTAGAGCACTCACCTTGAGCTGAAGAGCTGTGGGACAGGGCCCAGGCCCAGAGTTCAAGCCCCAAGACTGACCAAAAAAAAAAAAAAAGAAAACAAGGGTCTCATGGACTTTCCTGCCAGGGCCGGCTTTGAACCATGATCCTCAGATCTCAGCCTCCTGAGTAGCTATGATTACAGGTGTGAGCCACCAGCATTTGGTACCCTTGTTTTCTTAAACCGCATATATTTGCCTCCAGGTCCACATTTTAAGAAACACCTCATGTGCTAATAATAAGCAATAAGCACCCCATTCCTGGCAGCCACATAGAGTTCTTCCCACCAGGTCTTCCCACTGCTCAGAGACTTTCTTTTGCTAGAACTGCACAAAGGGCAAGGAACCTGACAGATTGCTATCTGTCCTATTCCATACAAAGGAAACAGGTCTGGAAACAGGCAGGGAGTAAGCCAAGGTCACGCTGAAAAGTAGATCTTCTTGAGCTTTGGGCAACTCTGGGTACGAATGTCTTCCCTGGTGCTAACAGCTGGGCCCCCCTCAGCCTCTGTGCCTGTCTCTGCCCAGCTGGGCCGGGCCTTACCAGGTGGAAGCGGTAGCTTTTCTCGTACTTCATGTACTTCAGGCAGTACTCGCAGAGCCACAGCTTAGGCTGTTTCCCATAGTCCTCAGGGAATGGCGAGAAATACCAGGCATCGATCTCATAGTTTCCAATATGGATCTTGTCCACATACTTCACCTTGGTGATCTGCAGAGAGGGGAAGGCAGGGGGCAGTGCAGGGCTTGGAGAAGGCAAGGGAGGGGGAAGGAGGGCCCAGTTGGGAGCCCTGTCCTTACTTACCGCCTCGTGCTCCTTCTCCAAAGCCGCTGTTGTGGGGTCCATCTCTGCGTAAGTCTAGGAAGGAAAGAGAAGCAGGTAGACATGAGTAAGCATAGTGGCCTGGCTGTCCCTCTCTTGATCCAGAACTACACTGCTTCCCTACCGTTTTCAGACCTCATTTCCTAAATGATAGTACTAACCATCCAAATAGCCAATTTGTTTTACTTGGTTTGGGTTTGGTGTCTGTCTGTATGATTATCCAATCTGTCTTACTTGTTTGCTCTCCTTTTTTTTTTGGGGGTGGGGGGGGACGAAAATGCTAGTCCTGGGGCTTGAACCTTGGCACTCTCCCTGAGCAATTTTGCTAGGCTAGCATTCTACCACTTGAGCCACAGTTCTACTTCTGGAGATTTTTTTGGTAGTTAATAGGAGCAAGAGTCCATACACTTATCACCCTGGCTAGCTTTAAACCACAATTCTCAGTCTCCTGAGTAGCTAGGATTACAAATATGAGCCACTGGAGCCTGGCTATTTTACTTGGTTTTAAGTTGGCTGATGAAAGCTCCTCTCCAGTCTGCCTGCCTACCCACACATCCAGACAGCCCTGAAGCATGAATGTACACAGCATCAGGCCTTGTTCCAGTCCTTGAGTTAACAACTTCAGCTGTACAAGTGGCAGTGTGGCTCTGACCAAGTTGTGGTAAGACTCAGATGGATGAAAGGATCTCAATTCCATGTCCAGAGTACGAACCCTTGTGGACACCCCAATGTGCATGGATCTCCACCCTAAGTCCCAGCAACCTGCTGTGGGATTGCTCCCAGAGGTCCTTCCCACAGGGCATCAGATGCTCAGTGCCCAGAAAAGTCTTCCATGTTCCCCTGGTCCTCCTGTTTCCTCACACTGGAGATAATGCCTCTCAGCCCAACCCAATGCCTAAGACTGATAACTGAGTTCTTCAGACTTCCGCTTGGCCTGGCATCCGGTTGGGGGCCAAGCCCTATGGATGGATGTTGGCTTTCACCTCCTTCACATCGCTGAGACCAGTTCCTCTCTGGAAGTCTCCATGACCCACTCCAAAGAGCTGTTGCTGGGACTTCAGGTCTGGATGGCTGACAAGATCTCCTGAGATTCCTGGCCTTGTGTCAGCCCCTCAACCTAAGCTACCAGCACCTCTCTTGCTGGGCTTTGTCTTTGCACATGCCATTCCCTCTACCTTCTCACACTGCTGCAAAGTGCTTTCCTGACCTGGCATCAAGTCTGGGTCAGGTGCATCCATGACACAGAAGGGCTTTGTGAGGCAGCATGTGTAATTGCTTTTATTGCGCTCTTTCCTGTCCTTCAAGATCCAAAGTCCTTCCCACTTCTCCAAGAAGTCTGGCCAGATTCCTCCATCTAGAAAAATCCTCCTTCCTTCCCATATCAGGAGTGGTCAACACAAGATCCTTTACCTAAGGTTCTTTCACTTTTCACGTTCTCTGAGAGCAAACTAAGGGTCATGGGTCACACTCAAAGCACAGCCAGACATTACTGATGGAGAGCCACAAAAACATACAGCATATACCAGAGTACTCACCTTGAAGTCAAGAATGGAGCCATGCTTTCTCCAGAACACCCCCTCCACAAAGCAGTCTGCCCTCTAGACTGGCCTCTGCTACAGCATTCTTATTTCAATTTTAAGGAGTAGTAACAGAGAGGTGAGGTCACTTGCCCCTGGGGACTAGCCAGCTGCCATTTATTCCAAATGCCAAGCACTCCACAGACATTACTTCATTTAGTCCTCACAATGAATCTTTGAAACAAGAGTGTTTATGACTGCCAGTATAACAAAAGAGGAGGAAACTGAGGCACAAAGAGGCAAAGTCACTTGCCCAAGGTCACAGAACTGGTACTCAGCAGAGTTGGGCACAAGTCCCTAATTTTAAGCATAATCACTGCACCAAAGGGGAGGGATGCGGAGAAAAGATGTTCTCGTCCTCACATCTATTTAAATGGCACTTCTCAACTCTCACAAAGCATAGTGCCCTTCTATTGATGCATTAAAGAATTACAAAACACTATTTTTCTTAAAGGCTGCAATTTATTTAGAATTCAACATTAATTAAGCTCTGAAGATGTTGGGAGCCGACAGTAAAGTTTAAAGGTCATCTTGACCCCGGTGCTCACTTGAAGGCACGTACAAGGAACTGGCTTACTTAAAAAACACCAGGTGTTGCTTTGCTACGTCTGCAGAGTTTTACTTTCTACCTGTTTACCTTGTCTTGTTTTTACTGAAAATTTCCTTGTTTTTCTGGACTATTGCAACCTTATGTTACCTATTGACTTCTAATAGTATATATTAGGGAACGTTAAAAATAAACCGGGCTGGGGCTGGGAAGGTGGCTCAGTGGTAGAGCGCCTGCCTTGCATGCCTGAGGCCCTGGGTTCAATTCCTCAGCACCATGTAAGCAAAAAGAAAAAAGCCGGAAGTGGCACTGTGGCTCAAGTGGTAGAGCGCTAGCCTTGAGCTGAAGAGCTGAGGGACAGTGCCCAGGCCCAGAGTTCAGGCCCCACAACTGGACCCAAAAATAAGTAAATAAATAAATAAATAAACAGGGCTGCAGTCTTGCGCTGCAGACCTCCCGACCCCATCCTTTGTCTTATGTCTTTCTTTTTCCTCATCCTCGCCCCCTAAATCAGGATTCCCTTTCGTTGCCGGCAGGCTCCGGCATGAAGACACTTGCTGGTTGCTTTATTAAGGGTTCTATCACCTCTGCTTGGTCCATTACCATCTACACTGCCGACTGGAGGCGCATCTTTGTACAAACTTGGGGGAACAGGACCTTGCGTCTGTCCAGAAGAGGAGCCACTACTAGTCACAGTCAGGTCCTTAAATTCAAGTTCACGGAGACTTTCAATATTATTCTTGGTCACACTAGACATATTTCAAGTGCTCCACAGCCACATATGGCGAGAGTAGTCCTGTCATGGAGACCAGAGCTCTAGAATACTTCCATTAAAGCATTAAATAGGACAGCACTGCTTTAGGCTGGAAGGGCTCTTTCTAGATTACGGTTTTTCAAATGTTTTTGTTTCTTACCATAGCCACAGAAGCAACATAGTTGGCACTTTAAACCAGCTGATGTCTGTACACATCCATGTATGTATATGTGTGGACAATATAATCCACTCAAAGCAATACTTACCCTTAAGAAAGTATAATACGCTTATTCTTTTTCATCTTTTTTTTTTTTTTTGGGTCCGATCGTGGGGCCTGAACTCTGGGCCTGGGCACTGTCCCTCAGCTCTTCAGCTCAAGGCTAGTGCTCTACCCCTTGAGCCACAGCGCCACTTCCGGCTTTTTTCTTGTTGCTTATGTGGTGCTGAGGAATCGAACCCAGGGCCTCATGCATGCAAGGCAAGCGCTCTACCACTGAGCCACCTTCCCAGCCCCTTCTTTTTCATCTTAAACGTCTTCCTTTTGAAAAATTTAAATGTGAGGAATAGGAATGTGACTTAGTGGTAGAGAGCTTGCCTAGCATGCATGAAGCCCTGGGTTCAATTCTTCAGTACCACATACACAGAAAAAACCAGAAGTGGCACTGTGGTTCAAGTGGTAGAGTGCTAGCAAAAGAAGCTCAGGGATAGTGCCCAGATCCTGAGTTCAAACTCCAAGACTGATAAAAAAAAAAAAAAAAGATCCAACTTGCGTTAATAAAACTATTGACCATTTAATGCCTTTGCAGTCTGCCAAATCTTGTTCCGCTTTGTACTCATTTTAGAAATCAAGAGCAGACCAGGTACCAGTGGCTCACACCTATAAATCCTAGCTACTCAGGAGGCTGAGATCTGAGGATTTGAGATCTGAGGATCTTTCCTCCCCGTCTGGGCAGGAAAAGCATGGGACTTTTACCACCACTAAACTACCAAAAAAAAAAAAGCCAGAAGTAGAGCTGTGGTTCAAATGGCTGAGCACTAGCCTTGGGCAAAAAGGTCAGGGACAGAAAACAGGCCCTGAGCTTGAGCTCCAGGACCAGCACACAACCACAAAAAAGAAAGCAAGGAACAGAAGCTCAGAATGGCAGAAGTAACTCCTAAGGGCAGTCTAACTTGGTGAAAGGAATCCAGGTAGCCAGCTATAGTCTACCACACCTACAATGCCAGCACTGGAGGCTAAAGCAAAAGAATTTTGAGTTTAAAGTCAGCTTGGGCAACACAGTGAGACCCTATCCTAAAAACAAAAACAACCAAACAAACAACTGTTTTGAGCTGGGAGCCAGTGGCTCACACCTGTAATCCTAGCTACTTAGGAGGCTGAGATCTGAGGATTGAAGTTCAAAGTCACCCAGGCAAGAAGATCCGTGAGACTCTTATCTCCAAAAAAGCACCAGAAAACCAAAAGTGGAGCTGTGGCTCAAGTGGTAGAGCACTCGCATTTAGCTGAACAGCTCAGGGACAGTGTCCAGGTCCGGAGTTGAAGCCCCATGATCAGGACTAAAAAAACAAAATAAAAAGAAAAAAAAAAAACTGTTTTGGAGACAAATGCTTGAAGGTTAGGATATATCAAAATCATGATTCGGGGCCCACTCTGAATTAGGACAATCTAGGTGTCAGGTTTAATTCCTGGCTGGGTTTCTTAACTTATCTGTGCCTCCTCTGCAAACGGGGAATAATAATAATGCTTACCTCACACAGTTGCCATGAAACATCAGTGATAGCAGGTACTGAAATATTTAGCCTAATACTTTGGCTCACAGACCAGTAATGTTTGGCATAATTATTCTAATTCCAGCCCACCTTTTTATTAGCTGTGTGACCTTGGGCACATTACTTAACTTCTCTGAAACTATTTCCTCATTTATATAAAGAAATAATTATCCCTGTGGTGCTAGATTCTTAGGGAGGGCTTGATGACATTATATATGTATAGTATTCAACATGAGGTTAGGCAAAGCCAGGTCCCCAATATCATTCATTCTCTTCCCTCCCTTTGGACTGCAAGTGGTTTGGCTTAATATAGCACAGCCATTAGAAGACAAAAAGAGGCTATTAGAGCAGGAGGCCTGAGTTCTAGTTCTAGCTATGGAATTTCTTGCTATAAGTCTGTGGCCAAGTTCTCTCACCTATGAAGAGTAAACTACAGTAGGTATCCTGTTACATGAAGTACGAGCACAAGGAGTGGGAGCTACTACGGCTTAGGAGGCCCAGGAGGCCTAAGAGACCTAGCAGGGGCAGCTGGGCCTCTGGGCCCTGAGGAAGGGGTAGGACCCGGACCTTCTGCACATGGTTGATCTCATCGTGCTTGCGCTTTTGGTTACGAGTGATCTTGCGCTCAGGCTGCTCAGCCAGCTCACTCAGGTACTTCTCTGAGTTCTTCTGCACAGCATCCTTCACTGTTTTGGTCAACGCCAGCCGGTTCTTGTCTACCCACTCGTCCAGTCGCCTGTTAACTGTTAGGATGGGCCATGAGGGTGCTGCCTTGCCACTTCCTCTCCCACTCAGGCCCAGGAGCCCCAAAGAACTCACAGCCTACATAGTGTACATAGAACTCCTCTCGTCCCTCCTGGTCATTCACTCGGGACTGGATCACTTCTGCAGAATCTGTGAAGGAAAAACATTAGGATCATCGGAAAGGAAGGGCTAGAACAAGGGAGGCATTTTCCAGATTCATCTGTTCACAACCCTGTCTGCTTAATCACTGACACAGCCTTGTGTGGTGAGCCAGGCTGGAGGTGTTATCCCTATTTTGCAGATGAGAAAAAAATGAGGCATGGGTCACAGATTTGAAAATAGGCACTGATACTTAGAACTGAGTTTAATTCTGACTCCAAATTTTACTTAGTCATTCATTTGGATGGACAGACTTAGTTTCTATATAATTCTAATCCTCCATATTTTCACTATATGTAATTGAGCAAATTATTTTTGCTGAGCCTGTTTCCTCATATGCAAAATAGAAATGATAGTGTCCATCTCAGAGGATGAGATAATGCCTACAGAGTGCCCAATAGCAAGCAGACTATTCAATAAATGAGTAAGGCAACCACTGCTTATTTAACTACCAGTGTATTGTTGCTGGATACAGAGGACACAGCAATGAATCACAAGAGATCTTGCCCTCCAGAAGCTCCCACAAACAGAGGATTACAACATTTTATATATGCCATGGCTGAAGTATGAAAAAATGTAGGAGCCTACAGACTGGAACAACTGACTTTGCCTGGAGGGAGGTCAAAAGTATTGAAAACAGGGGCTGGGAAGGTGGCTCAGTGGTAGAGTGCTTGCCTTGCATGCCTGAGGCCCTGGGTTCGATTCCTCAGCACCACATAAGCAGAAAAAGACAGCTCAAGTGGTAGAATGCTAGCCTTGAGCTGAAGAGCTGAGAGATGGCACCCAGGCCGAGTTCACGGCCCGCAACGGACCAAAAAAAATATATAAATTAAGAACAAGCAGATGCCAATGGCTCATGCTTGTAATCCTAGGTAGTCAGGAGGCTGACATCTGAGAATCGAGGTTCAAAGCCAGCTTGGGCAGAAAAGTCTGTAAGACTCTTATCTCCAATTAACCACCAAAAAGCAGTAAGTAAAGATAAGGGCGCAAGTGGTATAGCACCAGCTTTGAGCAAAAAAGCTCAGGAATGGCGCCCAGACCTTGAGTTAAAAGCCTTAGTATTGGCAGCAAAAACAAAAGCAAAAAACAAAACAAAACAAAACCAAAAGGACAACAACACAAAAACCAGAATCACGAGGAAGATGAGATTAAAAGCTAAATAGGGGGCTGGGAAGGTGGCTCAGTGGTAGAGTGCTTGCCTTGCATGCATGAGGCCCTGGGTTCCATTCCTCAGCACCACATAAGCAGAAAAGCGGCGCTGTGCCCAAGTGGTAGCGTGCTAGCCTTGAGCTGAAGAGCTGAGAAGGGCCAGTAAGTACCAAGGCCCAGAGTTCAGGCCCTGTGACCGACCAAAAACAAACAAAAACACCTAAAGAGGAGTTCACCAGGAGGCCAGGAAAAGGAAACACAAGGGATTCCAAAGGAAGAGCATGTATGATTTGCAGAAGGCCCAGGATGTCCTTTCCAGCAACAGCTTTTGCCATGGAAATGAATGGGATTTCTTCTGAAGGTCAGGGAAGGCAATGGGACGTAAGAGAAGGAGAAATTTTTGCGTGTTTTGGAAGGTCCGCTTTGCTAGTGCTGTACTGGGCGACAGAAGGCAAATACCAGTGAGAGCAGAGTGAGCAAGACACGGAACGATGCCTCCCACTGGGGAAAGAGGGAGAATGGGTGCACCGTGGAAACTTAAGAATTTGGTTTCTCAGCCCCGCCCACCCGCAGCGCGGCGCTCTCTCCCTAAGATCCGCCCCCCCCACCCGCCCAGACCATTCAACCATCCCGGAGGCCGCGATCCCAGGCCCCGCCCACCGAACTCCCGCCCCTAGGCCCCGGGCCCCGCCCTCACGCCAGGTGCTGTCCGGTCGCCGGCACAGGTACGTCTCTCCGATCTCCACCGTGACTTCTGGTTCGCCGCGTGCCGGAGTCGGAGGAGAGACTCGGCCTGGAGACGGAGCAGTGCCCTCGGCCGCTGCATTCTCCCCGGGTCCAGGTTCGCCCTCCCCTAAAACCCCCGAGGTCGCTGCAGCAACCGCCGCGGCCGCTCCCGGGGCCGCCATCGCGGTAGCGGAAGTGACGTCAGAGCCAGGCGCCGCGCAGTCTTTAGCTCCGGGAAGGAATCTCTGAGCCCTGGGGTGGGCGGATCTGTGACGTGGCAGAAGTTTATTGGTTCACGGGGCCCACTAATGGCGTTGCTGCTAGCTGGATGATTAGGACCGAGGTGAGACCACGTGTATGCGTGGAGTCCCGTAAGGAGGCAGATTTTCCTACTGTAGAGCGAGAGCGGTCTCCTAGATGCGGGCATCGGGATAGTTTAGGAGTCGTCCCCCGCTGTCCACTGCGCCGGCCTAGCTCAGATCGCTCACAGCTGCTTAAGGACTCTCCAAGGAGTGTCTTGGCAGTGATTGAGGATTGAAGTTCTTACAAGGTATTCAGAGGTGGATTCATGAGAATCGTTAAAGACTAAGCCATACATATTTACATACATACCATATATATGTGTATATATATATATATGTATATACCCACATATGTATATAAAATGCTCTTCCATTCAGAACCAACTTCATCAAAGTTAAACTGTAATCTGTCTGTGAAGACCAGCACTGAGGTCAGATCTCACGCCCAGGTCCCTATTTAATTCCACATGACCCTGGTTCACAGTCATAGTGGCTTTGTTTTCTTTCTGACTATGAGCTTCAGAACCCGAGGCAGGCCGTGTCAGCCACTCAGAAACCGCACCAAATACCTACTACTAACAGGAATGTCCTGAGGACACAATCTTTGTCCTTGAGATTAGGATTAGATACACAGTCATTTGGCCACAAACCTGTACCTGTAAAGACGGTATCTGCCAGTCTGTAATCTTTCATCTCTTACATAAACTGCCATTAAATCAGCTTTCTGGCAAGATGGAACTTTAGAATTAGGGATGAAAATCCTCTTTTTTTGGGGGGGGGGGGGCAGTCCTGAGCTTGAACTCAGAGCCTGGGCACTGTCCCTGAACTGCTTTTGCTCAAGGCTAGTACCCTACTACTTGAGCCACAGCACCACTTCTGGCTTTTTCTGTTCATGTGGTACTGAGGAATCAAACTCAGGGCTTCATGCATGCTAGACAAGCACTCTATCTACAACTACCAGACTCCTAAACTTTTTTTGCTCAAGGGTAGCACTCTACACTTGAGCCACAGCACCACTTCCAGCTGTTTCAGAGTAGATTATTAGAGATAAGTCTCCCATACTTTCTTGCCTGAGCTGGCTTCAAACCGAGATCATCAGATCTCAGCCTCCTCAGTAGCCAGGATTACAGGCATAAGCCACTTGCACCTGGTCCTCCTCATCTTCCTATCAGGCAGTTGATGGGAATAAACCTTTGTCTTCACTCATGGCTTCTGGCTAATTGGATTCCCTCTTATGTAGAGCAGACCCAGACTGTGCAGGGTAATCTATACAACAAATGTTAGGCAGAGCAAATACTCAGGAAACATTTACTTTAGCTATTCTCCAAAAGAGCTTTGGTTATTGAGCTTAAAACTATTCTAAGAGGGCTGGGAAGGTGGCTCAGTGGTAGAGTGCTTGCCTTGAATGCATGAGGCCCTGGGTTCAATTCTTCAGCACCACATAAGCAGAAAAAGCCAGAAGCAGCGCTATGGCTCAAGTGGTAGAGCACTAGCCTTGAGCTGAAGAGCTGAGAGACAGTGCCCAGGCCCAGGCCCAGGGTTCAGGCCCCATGACTGGCCAAAAAAAAAAAAACCTAAGAGATGAATGGAATCCTCAGGGCCTAGAGATTACAGTTCAAAGAATGCCTGAGAATAAGGAATCTGTAGGAGATGGCAGTGGGAAGGGATGGAAATGTGGACTTTGGAAAATGAGGATTTTTTTTTCTTTTTTGGGGGGGGGGTGGGGGGAGCAGCGAATACAGCATAAGAAACAGAAATAAAAAATCAGATAAATAAAATTGTAATGCCTTCTCACACTCCCACCTTCAAAGGTGTTGCTTCACTCAAGATTCTTGACTTCTCTGAGAACTTTACACTTCACCTAAAATGTGAAAGTCAGGTTAGATATTCTTAATGATAAGCCTAGGCCTAGTAAACCCTGTAATGAGGATCACTGCATCAGTCTCCCCTTTTGCTCTCTTGATTACAAAGGCCACCAGTGGTTCTTACATACAAATCCAACTAGTCTTCCCTCTTCACCCCAAGCTTTGGTTGTGGGACTTGAACTTGGCCTGAGCGCTGTCCCTCAGCTCTTCAGCTCAAGGCTAGTACTCTACCACTTGAGCCACAGTGCCACTTCTGGTTTTCTGGTAGTTTATTAGAGATAAGAGTTTCCCTATTGTAGATAAAAGTTTCACGGACTTTTCCTGCCTCAACTGGCTTTGAACCAAGATCCTCAGATCTCAGCCTCCTGAGTAGTTAGGATTACAGGCTTGAGCCACTGGCGCCCAGCAAGTCCCTTTAGTCTTCTAGCACCATAGGGACTGAATGCTGATCCTTTTAAATTTGTATCTTTGTTGCTTCTGTGTGCCTAGATTATTATTTTATTTTTTTAGTTGGTCGTGGGGCTTGTACTCAGGGCCTGGATGCTGTCCCTGAGCCTTTTTCTCAAGGCTGTACCATTTTGAGTCCCAGTGCCACTTCTGGTTTTCTGGTGGTTAATTGGAGATAAGAGTCTCATGGACTTTCCTGCCTGGGCTAGCTTTGAACCATGATCCTCAGATCTCAGTCTAAGCTGGAATTATAGGCATGACCACTAGCACCCAGCCCTAGATTATTTTTAATATCGTGTGTGTGTGTGTGTGTGTGTGTGTGTGTATCTACATGTGTGTCTACTGTTGCTGGTGCTTAAACTCAGGGCCTGGGTTCTGTCCCTCAAGGCTGATACTCTACTACTTGAGCCACAGCTCTGCCCTGAACTTTTTTTTTTGCCAATCCTAGGGCTTGAACTCTGAGCCTGGGTGCTGTCCCTGTGATTTTTTTCTTTCACTGAAGGCTCTATTAGTTGAGCCATAGCTCCACTTCCAGCTTTTTTGGCAGTTTATTGGAGATAGAGTCTCATGGGCTTTTCCTGCCCAGGCTGGCTTCAAACCACAACCCTCATGAGTCTCAGCTATCTGAGTAGCTAGGATTATAGGCATGAGCCACAAGTGTCCAGCTACTTCCAGCTTTTTGCTGGTTAATTGGAGATTAGGGTCCCAGTGACTTTCCTGCCTCAGTTGGCTTCGAACCCACTTTCAAGTTCTTGGCCTTCTGAGTAGGACTATAGGTTTGCATCACTGGTTCCTGGTTTTGATATCCTTTTGAAGGATACCACCTGAGACTTTTCTTTAAAGAGTGTGAGGGCTTCTTGTATTTGTTTGTTGAGATAGGGGGTCTTCCTATGTAACTCAGGTTTGCTTTGAACTCTCAATCCTGTCTCCACTTCCTGAGTGCTCCAGGTTCTACCTAAAAGAAAAAACTGAATTCAGCCTAGGGATTTAGATACTTTACCAGCCGTTCCCTTCCCTCCATTCCCACTTCCCAGTGCATTCCACTGACACATGGAAGAATCAATGACTGGTTTGTTTTTTTTTGTCAGTCATGGGGCTTGAAGTCTGGGCCTGGGCGCTGTCCCTCAGTTCTTCAGCTCAAGGCTAGCGCTCTACCACTTGAGCCATAGCACCACTTCTGACTTTTTCTGTTTATGTGGTGCTGAGGAATCCAACCCAGGGCCTCATGCGTGCTAGACAAGCACTCTACCACTGAGCCACTGTGATTTTTTTAGAGTCTTATGTCCCTATCTGAAACAAATTACTGGCTCTGGATACATTAACTCCCTGAGTAGCCAGGATTACAGATGTGAGTCACCAGGAGTACTGGGTTTAAACCAAAGGATTCACAGTTGCTAAATAGGTAGTCTTATCTCTAGATTCATGCCCTCAGCCATTTTTTATTTAGTTATTGGGGAGAGGATCTTATGTTTTTGCCTAGGCCATCTTGGATAACAATCATCCTATTTATACTTTTATCTACCTGGGATGACAGGTGCAAGCACAATGCCTAGCCACTGGTTGAGCTGGAGTCTTGCTTTTTGTCTAAGTTGGCCTTGAACAGCTATGCTGCTAGAATTACAGGTGTGGCCCACCCACTGGCTCTGGGCTTTCAACAAAGATCACATTCTAGGTTGGCTGCTTCCCTCTCCTTTCTTGCTTCTTCTTCTTTTTTTTTTTTTTGGTCCAGTTGTGGGGCCTGAACTCTGGGTCTGGGCGCTGTCCCTCAGCTCTTCAGGCTAGCACTCTACCACTTGAGCCACAGCGCCACTTCCGGCTTTTTATCTTTCTGCTTATGTGGTGCTGAGGAATCGAACCCAGAGCCTCATGCCTGCAAGGCAAGCACTCTACCACTGAGCCACCTTCCCAGCCCCGTCCTTTCTTGCTTCTTTTACTGGGTTTGAACCCAGGGCCTTTTTCAACACTAGGCATGTACTGTATTACTGAGCTACATCGTTAAATAGGCCTGAGAGCACTAGGACACAACACTCAAGACACAAATCCTCTCATGGCTAGCTTTTTGGGAACCCAACCTGAAACATTCCTTCCCAGCTTAAAACTCATCCCATGGATCCCTACTACCTCCAAAATGAGGCCCATGCTCCAAGCCCTGTACCTGCTGGCTGCCACCAACCTCTCTGGCTTTACTCTCTGTCCAGCAGCCAGCAAAGGTGACAGATGGACGTCTGGCCTCCTTCCCTGACAAAGTCAGTAGAGTGGTCCAAGTTAGGATTTTATATGGAGTTGTACTTTTTTCTTTTTCTTTTTTGCCAATCCTGGGGCTTGAACTCAGGGCCTGGGCTGCTGTCCCTGAGCGTTGGTGCTCAAGGCTTAAACTCTACCACTTAAGCCACAGTGCCACTTCTAGCTTTTTCTGAGTAGTTTATTGGAGAGTAAGAGTCTGCTAGTCTGCCCAGGCTAGCCTCAAGCCTCAATCCTCAGATCTCAGCCTTCTGAGTAGCTAGGATTATAGGCATGAGCACCAGTGCCCAGCGAGTTATACTTCTCACAAGAAGTTCAACCTCTAACCCTAAGTCCATCTACCATCTATGTACTTCCTTTTGCTCAACTCCTCCAGCATGCCCCCCACCCCCACCCCGTCCTTTTCCCTGTAGTGGGACACTTGAGTCTGCTGGGGTAGGCCAGTATACAACCTTGTGTTTCTTCTGTTGGCAGCAGCAGAAACAGCTAGCAGGTGTTATTTTTAATCTTACGCAGCCTCAGGAATCAGGTGGCCCAGGAGGTTGCCAGTCTGGTGACCTTCACCTCTAAAATCTGTCACTTCCAGGAAGAACCAGAACTATGACCAGAAGCTAGCTTTCCTTGCTTCTCCAGGAATGTCTGGGACCCAGAAACGTTTGTGAAAATGATGAGCGAAAATGCCAAAGTCAATCCTACTGCCAAACCAAACAGGGAATCAACACTGGGCCAATGCTGGGCTCTAAGGGCAGTTAGAGACTTAAGACAAGACCCAGCAAACCTACAGAGGCAGAAACAAAAGTTCACCTGCCTTCCCCACACCAGGGCCCAAAAGGGCATTCAAAATGAGAACTTTAATAACAAACAGCAGGTCAGAGTAGGGCTTCCCCAGGAGCGAGAATGACAGAGCTGGCATTAGAGGCCTCCAGGGTCTCCGCTTCTTCCTCCCCTACCTCCAGGGAAAGGAAGCGGCAGGCCCCACTGAGGAGTGATGCCTTCTCCATGTAAGTCAGTCTGTTAGACTGATGCAACACTATGTGGGGCAGAGTGACCCCTGCTTGACCACGAAGGTCCTGGCAGGGAGTAAGGATCCAGCCCAGGCAGGCAGGCCACAGGCCATGGGGTTAGATTCGGAAGCTCTCCTCCCGGCCATCGATGTGGCGAAGCCGCAGGTAGACATCTGTGCCGATGCCCTGCAGGGACTGAAGCTGCAGGGACCCGCCAAGGTACTCTGCGTAGGCCCTCGATGTGGGCAACCCGAAGCCAAAGCTAGGGGCAGAGGGAAAGGACAGAGCCCTTTAGAGGCCTGAGCCTCCTGGCCATACCCACCATCCTGGCTATGTGGGGCCTCACCCGTGCATGGGTCCTGACTGGCCGCCACTGTGCATGTCCAGGTGGCCGAAGAGGGGGCTGATCCGGGGATCCTGGGTGCTAGCCTCAGCTGTGGTGAAGTGGTAGTCCATGACCCGATCCAGGTCTTTGTGAGCAATTCCGCCACCTCGGTCTGAAATCCTGGCAGGATGCCAATAACATGGGCTTGGCTAAGGTCTGATGGGGTCCCACTGCCCCAAGCATGCAATGCTCAATCTCATTTCCTATTCCGTCCACCCAGAGGTAGAATGTGGTTTATCCAGAGCCCTGGTCCTACCTTTCCCCATTCTCACCTCCATCTGGGCCACTTCACTGGATTTGACATTTATTCTCAGCCCAGCATCCAAGACAACTGCCTAACTCCAGACCCCTCAGTTCTACAACTGAGGCAGGGCCCCAGATCCATCAATATGTAGCTCATGGGAATCTCAAGACAAGATTGGACAAAGTCCAAGTCCCAGAGTAGGGCAGGTTCTAGCTCGAAGTCCTATAGCAGATCAGAAACTGCCTGAGCCGCATTGACCCCAGCCCCACTCCACTCAGGGCAGACCTGATGACCAGATCAATATCATTGTTGGCGATGGTGATGACCACATCTGGGACATTGTATGGGGTGTCCAGGTGACTCTCCATCGTGGCTCTATGAAGTGAGGAAAGACCAGTAGGTAGTAGTACCACAGTTCTGTCTGCCCCCACCCATTGTATCCAGCCTACCTACCTCATGGCATTCTTGAGTAGCTCAGGCAAGATATAGTCCAGCGGCATAGGGATGAAGGGGAAGCGGGCAGCGACGTGTCCATTGATGCGCACACGGGGAGCATTGCCATATTTGTGCTCACACAAGCGTCTGTGGGTAGAAGGAGGGTTCAGAAGCCTTCTCAGCTGAAGGTGATTCCATTCCCCTCAGGGACATTTGCCAATATGCACAGAAATTTCTGCTCATCACAACTGAGGTGCTAATGGCAACAGGTGAATAGAAGCCAAGAGAACTGCTAAGCAGCCCAACCTGCACAGGACAGCCCACTGCAAAGAATTACCTGGCTTAAGATGTCTTAGTGCTGAGTTGAGAGAGCCTAGTCTAGACCTTGTCCCAAACAAGGACAGCAGACTGAAGCCTTCCCTGCCCTAAGGCCACCACCTTCTTCAGAACCTTCTAGCCTCACCTGGCAAAGTCCACCCACTTTTCAATAATCTTCTTTGGTGAGAGACGAGTACAGATGATGCCAACAAAGTCAGGCTGGCAAGAGAAAGAAGATCAGGACTACAGACACCTCCACTCCCACCCCCGCTGCTAAGTGCAACTTCTAGAAGGCCCTTAGCCCAGATCCCAGCCCAAGAGGGACTCTTGACTCAGTTTCCTCTCCCTTCCTCCTTCCCCCTTAGCTTTCACAAGGAGATCTCAAGTCTTAGTCAAAACCCTACCTTGTCCTCATGCAGTGCCAAGTGGTGAGTGGCCAGCATACGAATCCCAAGCCTTGAAGTCAGTGTCTTGTCCAAGAAGTATCTGACCAGCTTTTCGTCCTGGTAAGAATGGGGCCTCAGGAATTCTGTGCCCCATTCCAACCCTCCCCTGCTCTTGCTGGGTCCTTCCTTGCTCCTCTGTCCCTGACCTCTATGTGCTTCCGGCTCTCACGCAGGCCCTCAGCTAAGAGGGTCACCACATCCTTGTGGTCATCTAGCAGCTGTCGCACCAACTGACAATACTGGGCTTCGTCCGCCTGGTCTTTGATCTGCAGGTCACAGAGTTATGAGGACACGTAGTTCAGCCCTGACCCCTCAACCCCTCACTCTGCTTTGCCTAGCCTCACCGGAGGGAAGTCCGTCAGCTTCTGGAAGGCCCGGATGTACAGCTCATGCTGCAAGGAAGAAGTAGAGGATTGAAGCTATAGAATTACCTGATGGAAAACTAATAAATCTCAAAAAACACACGCCCCCCCCCCCCCAAAAAAAAAAAAGTAGAGGAACTCACTGGACTGCCATCTATGCCTATCTGTAGAGATCACCATACAACCCATTGCACATTCATCAAACACCCAACGTGATCATTCCAGCCTCCATGAAAAGTGTAGCCTTGGCTTCTAAAGCGTTGAGGCCTAGCCCAACATTTCCCTTGCAACAGGCAAGTCTCTGCCAGTCTGAGCCTGGTCTTCCCATTTGCCGTTGGGCAGAATGCACTCCGGCCTAAGGTTTTCTCCACCTTACCACGTGCAGTATAGTGGGGTTGCAGCCAATGATAAAAGGGAGGCTACGGAAACCCTTGATCCGGTGAGCAATCCTCACTGGCAGCTCTTGCTGCAGGTAGCGGCCACTTTTCTGCAAGAAAAAGAGGGACAAGCAGGGGCAAGGCCTAAGTGGCTGATTGAAACTCCGGGAGCCAAGGGAGAATAGGGGACAAGAAGCTTACCAGAAGGTGGCTGCCATCCTGAGATCGGCCAGAATAGAGCATCATGGTGGGAGTGAGGCGGACTGAGGGCTGCAGAGCAAGTTGGGACTTTGAGCACTGCCCCTAAACTGGCTCTGTCCCTTTCCCTGGACACTCACTCCAGGTCCTGACCACCCCCCCCCTCCACTCCCAGCCACTCACCTTTTCTGCTGCCACATCGATGGCTGATTGGTTGTAAAAGGAGGTGACGGTCTTGGAGCGTTCCCGTGCCATCTCTACGTGGTGTGTATCGGTGGCTGATGTGGACCGGGCTCGGAGTGAGAGTGTGGACCCCAAGAGGGGCCGGAGTGGAAGCCCGCCCCGCGGGCAGCTCCCCAGCACGGACGCCAGCATGATCCGTTCCGCTCCTTGAGCGAACTAGACTGAGGGCCCAACAGACGGAGGCGACCCCAAGATGGGGCAAAAAGAGTGTCTGGGCAAGGGTTCTTCCCTGCTTTCAGGAGCGAGGTTCCATCGAGGGTGCTGACAAGCTCAGTCCCTGGAAAGCAGCTCCCATCTGTCGGGGCGGCCGAAAGCGGGATTGTTTAAGGGCACCTCTCCACGTGGGCATCAAACACCCTCCCTCCCAGGGCAGCCTGTGGCGTCTCTAACCTCCTCAAACACCCAGGCCGAGCCTGGGCGATGTTATTTTATGCCGTCCTAGTCTCTACCCGGTGGTCTTGGTGGGGAAGGGATGGGGGGAATCCTCAGATCCAGACAGCCTGAACGCCTCACTTTGGCTCCCTCAGGTCCTGGGCACCCAGGGGGCGAGGCTGACCACCCCCCTTGTCAGTGCCCCCCAGACCCGAGCCCGGGGAGCCCGGTTGGCGTTACGCGCGACGCTGCGCTGTGCCCCGAAGCACGGGGTCCACCGAGGCTACGGCCCGGGGATCCCCGTCTGACCGACCTCTCCCTCCAGCCCCCCCATCCGCGGAGTCACTTGGTCCGGCCCGGACTCCCCCCATATGGTAGATGCCAACCCCCCGCCCATGCGCACTCCTGCGCAATGGGTGAGGCTGAGACGACGTGCGCCGTGGGGCCTCCTCCAGCCAGTCCCTTGGATGAGGGTTTCTCCACTTACCGCGCCAGGGCCCGGGTCCGAGCGGAGCCGCCCAGTCGGCTGGCCGGGCTAGCAAGCCGCCTGCGCCTTCTCCTGCGGTGACGTCACGCCGACTGTGGACGCCCGGTGCCTCCTGGGAGTTGTAGTTTGGCGCGGAGGACTCGCCGCCAGGGCTCTAGCGGGTCCTGGTTGTGTCCCTGTTCCCAGCCTTCCAGATAAATAGTACAGCTCCCGCCACCGGCTCCCTAAGTTACCTGGGACCTGTCTGGAACTCTGCTTTCCACTCTATAAAATGGGAACGGAGGGGGGGAGAAACAATGCTAGGGAACAAGATCTTTAAACATTCTGCACATAATTCAAATGACTCTGCCTGCTTCGAACCCCACCTAGGCCCCACCACACACCGGAGGCAATTAACTACTCGATAATTAATTTGGCATTTGTAAAACGAGGATGTGTTAACCTTGGGGTTTGTAGATTAGATGAATGTCCCTATGGACCATATGTAGAACCGTACAGGGTGCTTATGTAAAATCTGTACTCACTATGCACGTGCTAGATGATGTTTTTGCCCGCAGTGGATGTACATCCCTGATTGGTGCTTTCAGTGTCAAGGAGGAAGACTGGGTCAAACAATCTTAGCCAGGCACTGGTGACTCACACCTATAATCCTAATTACTCAGGAGATAAATCTGCGAATCTGAGCTTTGAAGCCATCTGGGGCAGACAAATCCTGAACACTCTTATCTCCAATGAGCAAGAAGCTAGATGTGGAGGTGTGGCTCAAGTGGCAGAGTACCAACTTTGAGAGAAGAGTTTAAGACCCAGAGTTCAAGCCCTACTACAAGCACAGAATAAACAGGCATTTCCCCCCCCCCTTCACCCCCAGCCCACCCCCAGCCCTAAAGAGGAAGGTGCTTTTTGTGTGATCACCTGGGATGAGGGCGGCTGTGGGAACACCAGGTAAGGACTTGGATACAGGAGCAGCATGAGGGTTAGGGCTTGGGCCTGGTGAGGAGATCTGGGAAGAAGAGGGGTGAATAGGGTAATGAGCAGCTCAGGAATGGTAAAGAAGTCTGTGTTTACCCTAGGGGACTTCAGAACCACTGAAGAGTGTTCATTGTTAAGTTCTGCTTCTCAGACCCTCTTCTGGTAGTTCTTGCTAGGGTGGGGCTTGGTGAGACTGGAAACAGTGCATGGAGAAGACACCCGTAGGCAGCCAGTGATGGGAGGCTTTTCTGTGTGTTTGTACTGATTGGATTTCCTTCACTGTGTGTACATATTTCCTAGCTATCCAAAATTTCTTAAAGTTCTAAGTGTTAAATGAAGCAAGAGATATCCCTGGGGGTTGTCCTTAAGCTTGGAGCTGGGAACTGGCCCACCATGATTAACCTGCCTGGAGCACTGGACTTCCTTCTCCCTCCCTACCCCCAACTTCTTTTTCCAGCTCCCTGGCCAATGTCCCCCGAGTGAAGCCAAAGAGGCCTCCCGCCTCTGGAGGCAGGCACAGCTCTAGCACATGGAAGAAAAGGCAAGGGAGGGGTGATCTCGAAGGGGAGGACAGCCTGCACCAAAAGCCAAAGGTCCAGACTGCGTGTTGGGCGTCTGAACGCAGCGCTCACGTGGTCACGGCGTGGACAGCAGCCGTGGGAGGTGCGGACTGTGGCTGCCCGGCGCGGGAGGGATCGTCTGGTTAGCTCAGCTTCACCCCGTTTGACCCTGCGCTCTGGAGCCGAGCATGGTCTGATCTCGCTGCTGCCCCCGGCGGCGGAGGTGAGATGTGCACCCCGCGAACTTCATTTCATAAGGGGTCATACAGGTATGTAGACATCTTTAAACTTAGCCTCTGTCATCGATACTCGTATCTCTATTTTACAGATGCAAGAACTGAGATCCAGAAAGATCAAGACTCATTCCTTCTTTTCCTCAGGCCCCAACTCTATGTTTATTCTGGCTCAGGCCACACCAGGTGCCCTTATGTTTGTTTACAAATGTATCTGTACATTCCAGTTCTGATACAAGTCTCACTAGGCTAAGATCAAGATGTAAATAATTCTTTCTTAGAGACTGTAAGGAGTAGGACAATCTATTTGTCCTTTCCTGCCCTTAGAAGCCACAGATATTCATAAATGCATGACTGTATTTTTTGTTGTTGTTGTTTGCTTTGTTTTGTGGTGCTGGGCAAACCCGAGGCCTTGTAGAAGCCTCACCACTGAGCTGCATCTCAGTTCTGTGTTTCTTCTACAATCACTGTGCTGGTATTGGGACTTGAACTCAGGAGCCTGGGCGATGTCCCTTAGCTTTTGCACTCAAGGCTAGTAGTGTTCTACCATTTAAGCTACAGTTCTACTTCCAGCTTTTTGGTGATTAATTGGAGATACGAGTCTCACAGGTTTTCCTGCCCTGACTGGCTTCCAACTACATCCTCATATCTCAGCCTCCTCCTGAATAAATAGTATTATAGGCATGAGCCACTGGCACCTGGCTTTACATTTACTTTTGGCTCTTTGTTTTGTTTTTTTGTTGGTGGGTCATGGGGCTTTAACTTGGTCCTGGGAGCTGACCCTGAGCTCTTACACTCAAGGCTAGTGCTCTACCACTTGAGCTACAGCACTACTTCCGATTTTCTGGTTTTCTGGTAGTTAATTGGAGATAAGAGTTCCAGAGACTTTCCTGCCAAGGCTGGCTTTGAGCTATGATCCTTAGATCTCAGCCTCCTGAGTAGTTAGGCATGAGATCCAGCGCCTGGGTACCTTGGTTCTTTTTTTTTTTTTTTTATCTCCTCTTAGCTTTAAAGACACTTAGGATTACATTGGACCCACCCAATAGTTAAGGGAATATCCCTGTTTTACAACCAGCATATTGGCAACTTCAATTCTATCTGTAACCTTAATTCCTTCCTTTTTCCCATATAAACTAATACAGCCACAGGTTCCAGGGATTTGGCCATGGATATCTTGGGGTATCATTATTCTGTATACCTTTCTCTCTAGAATAAGAAAAGTAGAACTTGGAAGGAACAGCCAGAGAGCAAAGAGGACTAGCAGGGAAACAAATAAATACCATTTCAAGTAAGGCATAGATGACTCATGTCTGTAATTCTAGCTTCTGAGGAGGTTGAGATGTGAGGATTGTGGTTTGAAGCCAGTCCAAGCATGGAAGTTGTCCATAAAAATCTTTATCTTGGGGGCTGGGAAGGTGGCTCAGTCGTAGAGTGCTTGCCTTGTATGCACGAGGTCCTGGGTTCTATTCCTCAGCACTACATAAGCAAAAAGAAAAAAAGCTGGAAGTGGCGCTGTGGCTCAAGTGGTAGAGGGCTAGCCTTGAGCTGAAGAGCTGAGGGACAGTGCCCAGGCCCAGAGTTCAGGCCCCCTGAGCAGACCCAAAAGAAAATCATCTTGGAAGTGGCGCTGTGGCTCAAGTGGTAGAGCATTTGCCTTGAGCTGAGGGACGGTGCCCAGGCCCAGAGTTCAAGCCCCACAACAACAACAAAAAGTTCTTAGGGGCTGGGAATGTGGCCTAGTGGTAGAGTGCTTGCCTAGCATGAATGCCTAGCTTGCCTAACATACACATAAACAGAAAAAGCTGGAAGTGGCTCTGTGGCTCAAGTGGTAGAGTGCTAGCCTTGAGTAACTGAAGCTCAGGGACAGTACCCAGGCCCTGAGTTCAAGCCCTAGGACTGGCAAAAAAAACAACAAAAAAAAAAAAACATTTATCTCACTGGGCACCGGTGGCTCATACCTGTAATCCTAACTACTCAGGAGGCTGAGATCTGAGGATCGCAGTTCAAAGCCAGCCTGGGCAAGAAAGTCTGTGAGACTCTTACCTCCAATAAACTGCCAGAAAACCAGAAGTGGCACTGTGGCTCAAGTGGTAGAGCCCTCTCCTTGAGCTGAAGCACTCAAGGACAGCACCCAGGCTCGGGGTTCAAGCCCTACGACCACCACCAACAACAAAAATGTCCTTATCTCCAATTAACCAGCAAAAAGGCAAAAGTGGAGCTATGGCTCAAGTGGTAGAGCACCAGGCTTGAATAAAACAAGCTCAGGGTCAAGGCCCTGAGTTCAAGTACAGGACCAGCACACACACACACAAAACATCCATTTTGATGAAAGAGTTAGATGTTAAATAAGTCTTGAAAAATAATCATTGAACTTGGTGGCCAGCCACTAGTTGTCAGGGTTATTATTTGAAGCAGAAGCTAGCTTATAATGTGTGGGTAGCAAAGAAGAAGTAGAGTCCAGGAATGCAAAATAGTTTCAAAACTTTGACTGTGATGAGACGATGATACAGGGGAGAGGAAGAGATCTCTGATGAAGAAACTCCTGACCAAGGGAGATTTGGTTGTTTCTGAGTCAGGAAACAGAATCGAGTTTCCATGCAGATGAGAAGGAAGCTCAGTTGACGATTTAGAAGAGACTCACCAGTAGATGGGGGAGACTGGAAAGGCTGTGGTTCATCCAAGCCAGGTTCTTCAGGGTTACAAGATGTCAGAAGAAGCCCCAATAGCAGAGTTTATTGCAAAAGGATGGACCAGCCAGAGAGGGCAAGGCAGGAAGAAAGGGCTGAGGAGGATAGAAAACTACAACCTGACAGTGAAATGATTTCAAGAGATGCTTGACTCTTGGACCACAGACTTGGCAAGATTCCCTACACCACTGGTTTCTGAGTCCTGGTATATGCCAATGCTTAGAGCTACTGGGGAGCCTGAGATATGAGGATCATGGTTCAAAGCCAGCGCAGGCAGGGATGTCTGTGAGACTCCTATCTCCAACAAACTACTCAAAAAAAGCTGGAAGTAGTGCTGTGGCTCAAGTGGTAGAGCACTAGCCTTGAGCTGAAAAGCTCAGGGACAGTGCCCAGGTCCTGAGTTCAAGCCCCATGCGCAACAAAAAAGAAAAAAAGGAAACATTCAGCATATATTTTTTTCTTTTGTACAAGGGTAACATATTGTACTAAATATGTAAGGTCTTATTTCCGTGGGTTTTGATTACACAAACTAATTTTCTGTAAATAATGAAGATGCTTTGCCTAGCAAGAGACTGAAAACCCCAGTACTGCCAAAACACAAAAAAGCAAACTCTAGAGACTTTTTTTTTTTTGATGCCTTGGAGCTCTTTGACTACAATTCCCATAACTCCTAGCATTCCCACCCTGACACCCCACCCCACCCCCGCCCGGTCTACTACTACCACGAATCCAGTTTACCAGCCCAACGTTCCCCGCTGGTTTCCTGTACCGCCCCGCCTCGTCCGCAGAGCGCTAAGAATAACCAATCGGATCGGGAGGGTCAAGACAGGAAGACCAATCAACGGGCCTGAGAGGCGGGAGCGGGCGTGGCTTTGGCGTGGCTCTTCTCCGCTCCGCCCCTACACCGTGGCGATCTCTCTCTCCTCCCCGCCGCGCGTCGGGCGGGAACCGCGGACATGGGCCCCACCTGGAGGAGCCCCGGGCGGGTGCGTCTGGCGCTGTGCCTGGCCGGTTTCCTGCTTTCCGTGTACTCTCTGCACGTGAAGGCGGCGCGCGCCCGCGATCGGGACTACCGCGCGCTCTGCGACGTGGGCACCGCCATCAGCTGCTCCCGCGTCTTCTCCTCCAGGTGCGCGCGGAAATGGAAAAACCCGGCCTCCCCGACGTGCTGACTGATTTTGGAATGTGGGATCAGGGTATCTGGGGAACCGACACTTTGAGGCTGAGGGGTGTTACCTGGCGTAACGGGTGCACACCTGGGCTGAGGCACCCCGAGATACTAGTTTTTGAAGTGAGGGTGCAAGGCTTGGGGGGCTGAGGGAGTGGTCGGTGCTGGGTTAATGGGGGGATCGCTCGTGCATGCGAGTGCCCGGGAATAACGGTGACCGGGAGAGGGCACTGATGGCTTTTTGAGGCGCTCGCGGGCGAGGGTGAGCACACTGAGGTTTTTTGAGCCCTGGGACCTGGGGCTTGTTCTGACTCGGAGAAACCAGGATTAGTAGTTTAGTGGGGCGACAGAACAGGGAGGAAGGGGTGGGTGGCCACGGAGCTGGACATCTGTGTGTCCAAGGCAAAAAAGAAGGTAGCCTAAGATTTCCTAATTTTGTTAACTAAGTGCCCATTTAAAGAATTACCGAAGGTATCCTTGGAGAAGCGGAGCCTATGTTAGGGCCATGGCTAAGCCTGGCTTGGGGATAAAGGAGAATTGGGCAATGACCCATAGATTCCTGACCTGGCCAAAGGTCTGGAAGGTCAGGAGGTCATCGGCCCTTGGATACTTAGTGCGAGGGAAATGGGAACAGGAGTCTGCCCCCCCCCCCACCTTCCGGCCCCGTCCCTTCTACTAGATTGACACCTGCTTACCTGAATGTCTCTATCACCACCACCAGGTGGGGCCGTGGCTTCGGACTGGTGGAACAGGTGTTGGGAGCAGATAGCATCCTCAATCAATCCAACAGCGTATATGGTTGCATTTTCTACACGCTGCAGCTGTTGTTAGGTGAGTGGCTCCACCCCTTCCCTGCAGGCTCCGCCCACTCAAACCTGCTTCTTCCCCTAGGCCAGTGCAGCCCCACCCAAACTACGCGTGTCTGGGGCTTGGTGACCCTGACAGTTGACAGTCGCTTGCTAATCACTGGGCATCTTTGGGCAAGAAGACCAGCAGGAAGGGAACTAAAGGTGTCTCTGACAGAGGTGCAAGATCCCATAAAGACTTTATAGTGGGGCTGGGAATGTGGCTTAGTGATAGAGTGCTTCCCTGGCATGCATGAAGCCCTGGGTTCTATTCCTTCTTTTTTTTTTTTGGTCCAGTCGTGGGGCCTGAACTCTGGGCCTGGGCGCTGTCCCTCAGCTCTTCAGCTCAAGGCTAGTGCTCTACCACTTGAGCCACAGCGCCACTTCCGGCTTTTTTCTTTTTGCTTATGTGGTGCTGAGGAATGGAACCCAGGGCCTCAGGCATGCAAGGCAAGCGCTCTACCACTGAGCCACCTTCCCAGCCCCCTGGGTTCTATTCCTCAGTACCACATAAACAGAAAAAGCCAGAAGTGGTTCTGTGGCTCAAGTGGTAAGAGTGCTAGCATTGAGTAAAAGGGGGACAGTGCCCCCAAACCCTGAGTTTAAGTCCCAGGACTGGGGAAAAATAAAACAAAACTAAAAAAGACTTCCTAGGATCCCAGTTTGTTTTTTAAAGATTCAAATTATGATTAAAAACAATATTTTACTGGACACCAGTAGCTCACACCTGTAATCCTAGCTACCCAGGAGGCTGAGATCTGAGGATTGAGATTCAAAGCCAGCCCAGACAGGAAAGTCCATGAGACTCTTATCTCCAATGAACCACCAGAAAACCAGAAGTGACTCTGTGCTCAAGTGGTAGAGCTCTAGCCTTGAGCTGAAGAGCTCAGGGACAGCACCCAGGCCTAGAGTTCAAACCCATGACCAACAACAACAACAATATTTTGGTGTTAGTACTAGGACTTGAACTCAGGGCCTGGGTGCTGTCTCTTAGCTTTTTGCTCAAGGCTGGCAGGCTACCATTTGAATTACAGCTCCATTTCTAGCTTTTTGGTAGCTAGTAGGTGATAAAGTCTCTCCTGGATTTTCCTGCCCAGGCAGGCTTTAAAACTTGATCCTCTGGGGGCTGGGAAGATGGCTCAGTGGTAGAGCACTTGCCTTGCATGCCTGAGGCCCTGGGTTCGATTCCTCAGCACCACGTAAGAAAAAAGCCGGAAGTGGCGCTGTGGCTCAAGTGGTAGAGTGCTAGCCTTGAGCTGAAGAGCTGAGGGACAGCGCCCAGGCCCAGAGTTCAGGCCCCACAACCGGACCCCAAAAAACAACAACAACAACAACAACAAAAACTTGATCCTCTGATCTCACTCAGTTTACTGAGTAGCCAGGATTACAGGTGTAAGCCACCAGTGCCTAGCTTCTCAGATTAATTGAAGGCAACCCTAATACATCTTCCATTCATGTAAATCTTAGCAGGAAAAAAAAAAAAATCACTATTTGGGTCCCGCAAGTTATTGAACAGAGAGAGAATGAGTGTCTAGAGGGCTATATTAGAGCCTATTTCCCTATCAGTAGCACCAGAAGTCAGGTCTGAATTCTGGACATGGACATTCCTTGATCCTTTTTTTACTTCCCAGGTTGCGTGCAGGGCCGCTGGGCCGCTATCCTCCTGCTGCTGAGCTCCCTAATGTCCCTTGTTGGGACTGTCTACTTGGCCTGGATCTTGTTCTTCGTTCTCTATGATTTCTGCATTGTTTGTGTCACCACCTATGCCATCAATGTGGGCCTGACATTGCTTAGCTTCCAGCAGATCCAGGAACCCCAGAGCAAGGCCAAGAGGCACTGAGGTCTTACCCATGCCAGGCTGGCATTATCTGCTTTACGTTGGCACATGAGTCTTGTCCAAGGGAGCTCTATCTGGTTCCCAAGAAAGCACCGCATCACGCTCGCTACTCCCTCCATGAACCATACACAGAACAAAAGGACCCAGTGTGCCTTTAGCTCTCTCCTCAAGGGCTAGTTTTCATTATTTCCCAGGGAAGGAACGTTCTACACAATAAAATTTCTTAAGCTGGCCAAGTCTGTACCATCTTTCTACCAGGGATGCTGGTTTTGGGCTTCCCCCAGTGTTGCCTTGTTGGCAAAGATGAGTCAGGGAGAGTGGAGGGCCTTCCTGAGAAGGGTGGCTTTGGATAGTGTCATCTACAGCATGTGGAGTCAGCAAGGCGTGGGGCTCCATTAACCCCTACCTGCAGGAAGCAGGCTGACTGCTTGTCCCTGCTGCCCACAGGAGCTAGGTGTCCTCTTCTGGGAGGGTCCAGCACACATTACCCTTCTGGCTATGTAGACTTTGAGCTTTTCTTCCTATAGACCAAACTTAACCCATTTGGTGGCCTTATCTACCATCCCAAGCCAGTCTCTGCAGCCCTGAAGGTAAGGATCAGGTTGTTTTCATTTTTCTTCACTAAGGATTTACCCATATGCTAAGCATTAAGAACTTGTGTTAACATGTTATTAATTCATGTAATCCTGGTACAATCGAATGAGGTAGGTGCTATTATTACCCCTATCTTGGTGAGGAAACTTAGGTAGACAGGCTAATTAATTTGCCTAAGATCTCCCATCCAGTGCTGGGAAGGATAGGGAGATCTTAGGTGTTTTTTTTTTCCTGGTGCAGGATTTCACACCTGTGAGTCAAGCTACCATGATACACCCCCAGCCAGTCACAGATCTCAAGATCTGAATCTCCCCAGGCCATCTGTCTAGTGTATACCCTACCCTCGATTCATAGCTGTCTGTGTGTTAAGGGCTGTCCCTGAGCTCTTTTGCTCAAGGTTAACACTACACCACTTAAACTTCAGCTCTACTTTTAACCTTTCGGTAGTTTACTGGTGATGACTCTCTCAGACGTTTCTGCCTGGGCTGGTTTTGAACTGTGATCCTCATATCTCAGCCTCCTGAGTAGTTAGGATTACAGGTGTAAGTCACCAGCTTCTTCCACCGTTTTTGAGGACAGGCACCACTGTGTGTTTTCTGGGAAGGAAGCAGGCCTAGAGAAATGTTGGGATTTGCTAAAGGCTTATGGTCATCAAGCAGCAGAGAGATTCGGCCATTAATACCCAGCCCTGGGCTGGAAAGGTACTCAGTGGTAGAGTGCTTGCCTTGCATGCATGAGGCTCTGGGTTCCATTCCTCAGCACCACATAAGCAGAAAAACCTGGAAGTGGTGCTGTAGCTCAAGTGGTAGAGTGCTAGCCTCAAGCTGAAGAGCTGAGGGACAGCGCCTAGGTCCAGGGCTCAGGCCCCAGGACCGACAAAAAAAAAACAAAAACATACCCAGCCCTGCACATTGCCCATGAGACAGTCATGGAGGAAAGGTATATGAAACCTGTCTGGCGCAGGCAGGGAAATTGAAGAGGAATCCATGAGGATGGTGTTTCCATGCTGGGAGCAAGACTATGAGAAGCCAGACTCTTCTCTAACTAAAGATATTTGGGGGTGCTTTTATTTTTGTTTTGAGACACAGTCTTGCTATGTAAACTAAGCTGGTCCAGAACTCACCATCTTCCCAAACAAGCCTTTTGGGCATTGGGATTACAGGTATGTACTACCATGCTGGACTTCATCTAAGCATTTTTTTTGGGGGGGGGGTCCAGTGGTGGGCCTGAACTCTGGGCCTGGGCATTGTCCCTCAGCTCTTCAGCTCAAGGCTAGTGCTCTACCACTTGAGCCACAGTGCCACTTCCGGCTTTTTTTTTTTTTTTTTGGGTCCAGTCATGGGCCTGAACTCTGGGCCTGGGCGCTGTCCCTCAGCTCTTCAGCTCAAGGCTAGCGCTCTACCACTTGAGCCACAGCGTCACTTCCGGCTTTTTTTTTCTTCTGCTCATATGGTGCTGAGGAATCGAACCCAGGGCCTCAGGTATGCAAGGGAAGCACTCTACCACTGAGCCACCTTCCCAGCCCCTGGCTTTTTTTTTCTGCTTATGTGGTGCTGAGGAATCAAACCCAGGGCCTCATGCATGCAAGGCAAGTGTTCTACCACTGAGCCACCTTCCCAGCCCTCATCTAAGCATTTTTACATCCAGTCATTCTGAGTTTCTAAGACCAGGCACAGACAGGTTAACTGTCCAAGGTCACTTACATAGTAAGATTCAAACTATGGCACGCTGACCCTTGTGGAGGCTGAGAGAGGGGTGGTGGCCAATCCAGGGTCATGTAACCACAGCCCAGATGCTAAGAGCTGCTTGGCTCCCTTCTAGCCTAGGGGAAGCAGTGACACCTGTGACTCCTAGGCTGGGGGTGGAGCTGGGGTGGAGCCAAGGAGACCCGGGTGGGTGGCCTCTTGAGAACAAGAACACAAGTGGCAGAGTGGCCAGGAGCAACATGAAGCAGAACTGGGGACCAGGGCTGCTGATCCTGGGAGCTGTGGTCCTCATAAAAGGTAAGGGACCCGTGTGTGGGAGGGAGGCAGAGTGGAGCGCTAGAGGTCACGGCTGCTCTTGGCCCTCCTGTAACTTGGTATGTAGGTCTGTCTGTCTGTGGATGTCATGTTGGGTGTTGGTTGTGTGTGTGTGTGTGTGTGTGTGTGTGTGTGTGTGTGTGTGTGTGTGTGTGTGTTACCCCCAGTGACCTCAGGAAAGTTCTGGGCCTCATTGGCCTGGGTCTCTCTTTCCTCCTTCCCAACTCTTCGCTCCCTCACTCTAATGGTCGGTGGATCTGTACTCAGGGAAGAGGGAAGGCCCAGACCCTTTGGTCAGCTCACTGGCAGCCTTTGGGAAGCTGGGGAGTCTGAACTGTTTCCACAGGGGTGGGGTGAGTCTTACCTCTTGGGACCTCCCCTCCTTGGACATGACGCAGTCCTCTAATCCTTTAGTCCTCCACGGTTGAAAGGACAATTAAAATAATGCTCTCCACATACACAAGCGGCCTCCCTGAGTCAGCAGTGGGGGCAGCAGTTAGGGGTTCAGAAGCCTGGAGGAAGGCTGGCCAGGGCCCAAGCTGTATCCTAGACCGAAGAGTGCTGAGCACAGTTCAGGGAGGAGAACTAATTACTGAGCGTGCACTCTGAATGAGTTCCAATAAAAGCTCTTGCTCGAACTCATATAAATATTTTCATTCTGGGAGGGACTGGTGAGGTAGCCAGTTACAGGCAAGGATCAACCCATCCCCTCTACCAAGCCTGTGCCCAGCAGCTCAGGGCTCCTGAACCTCACCTAAGTCTTTCTCTCTCTTCTCAGGTCTTCAAGCAGCCCAGCGTGGTAAGATCTGGGGATGCTGGGCCTGCCTTACTTGAGTCAGGGTGTGGGGAGATGCGGGGGGTCTGCTGTCAACATGACACCTCTCTCCGTAGTCTGTGGGCAGCGTGGTCCTGGGCCCCCTGAGCCTCAGGAAGGCAACACCGTGCCTGGCGAATGGCCCTGGCAGGCCAGTGTGAGAAAGCAGGGAATCCACATCTGTAGCGGCTCCTTGGTGGCAGACACCTGGGTCCTCACTGCTGCCCACTGCTTTGAAAAGTGAGTCATGGCTGCAATCGGTCAGGGTCTCAGCCTGTATGGGTAGATTCGTCCCTAAGTCCCAGAAGACTGCTTCCAGTCCCTAGATTAAAAAGGTACCATTTGCCAGGCACCAATGGCTCACACTTGTAATCCTAGCTACTCAGGAGACTGAGATCTGAGGATGGAGGTTTGAAACCAGCCCAGGCAGAAAACTCCCCATGAGACTCTTCTCTTCAATTAACCACTCAAAAACCAGAAGTGGCTCTGTGGCTCAAGTGGTAGAGCGCTAGTCTTGAGCACAGAGGCTCAAGGACAGTGCCCAGGCCTTGAGTTTAAACTCCACAACCGACAAAACAAACAAACAAACAACATTTTCTGGGCACTGTTGCTCACACCCGTAACCCTAGCTGGTCAGGAGGGAGAGATCTGAGGATTGTAATTCAAAGCCAGCTCAAGCAGGAAAGTCCATGAGACTCTTACCTCCAACTAACCAGCAAAAAGCCAGAAGTAGATCAAGCTTTGAGTAAAAAAGCTCAAGATCAACAGCCAGGCTCCAAGTTCAAGCCACAGGGCCAACATACACACACACTCACACACACACACACACACACACACACACTATATATATATATATATATATATATATATATATATATATATATATATATATATATACTGAGAATTTGTCTCAAGTTTAATTGTAACAATAACCTCTCATGGTCCTGAATGAGTAAGCTGAAGTTCGAAGAAACAGGGGAAAGCTGGGCTTAAAGCCACGAACTGACATCTGCACATCTTCTACCTACCTGTGCTTCCCAGACACTCAGCCCTTCTATTCCAGGGAGGCAGCGACAGAACTGAACTCCTGGTCTGTGGTCCTGGGCTCTCTGCAGCGTGAGGGGCTGAGCCCAGGGGCTGAGGAGATAGGGGTGGCTGCCTTACAGTTACCCCAGGCTTATAACCACTACAGCCAAGGCTCGGACCTGGCTCTGCTCCTGCTCGCCCATCCTGTAGCCCGCATACCCCTCTGCTTGCCCCAGCCTGCCCACCACTTCCCCTTTGGAGCATCTTGCTGGGCTACTGGGTGGGATCAAGACACCAGCAATGGTAAGTGCAATCCAGAGAGGCACTGCGCTTGCCTAAGGCCATAGTTTGAGCTCCAACTGTCCTAGCCCTGCCTTCCTTTGCTATAAGTCTAGACTCTAGCCTCAGCCCCCATCTCTTTTGTCAGCTCCCAGGAAACTACGGAATCTGCGTCTGCGGCTCATCAGCCGCCCCACATGTAACTGTCTCTACAACCGGCTACACCAGCGGCTGCTGGCTAGCCCTGCTCGGCCAGGGATGCTATGTGGGGGTGCCCAACCTGGGGTGCTGGGACCCTGTCAGGTCTGATTGGGAGGAAAGGGAGAGGGGAGGGCTTTGCCTTGGGATGGGGGCTCAGCCACTGAGAAGAATCAGGGAGCTACAGTCAGAGGGCATCTGTCTTAGACTCCCTTGCCTGGCTCCAGGGAGATTCCGGGGGCCCTGTCCTGTGCCAGGAGCCCAATGGACGCTGGGTTCAGGTTGGGATCATAAGCTTTGCATCAAGATGTGCCCAGGAGGACACTCCTGTGCTGCTGACGGACATAGCTGCTCACAGCTCCTGGCTGCAGGCCCGAGCCCAGGGGGCAGCTTTCCTGACCCAGGCCCCGGAGACCCGGATGACCAGCGATGAGGACAGCTGTGTAGGTAGGAGCACTAGGGTACTTGAGAGCGGGATGATGGGGACACACTCAGATCTACATGACTTCTAGGCAGTGGGTAGGAGCCGCAGTGAAATGGCTCAGACGGTAAGCCCATTAAAATAATAATAATAATAAGCTAACTAGGGGGCTGGGAAGGTGGCTCAGTGGTAGAGTGCTTGCCTTGCATGCATGAGGGCCTGGGTTTGATTCCTCAGCACCACATAAGCAGAAAAAGCTGGAAGTAGTGCTGTGGCTCAAGTGGTAGAGTGCTCGCTTTGAGCTGAATCGCTGAGGGACAGCGCCCAGGCCCAGAGTTCAGGCCCCACGACTGACCCAAAACAAAACAAAACAAAACCCAAAACAACAACAAAACCAAAACACTAGGGGCCTTTTAAGGCTCTGTTTGGGCCCTAGGATAGTGACAACCCCACAAGGGCTGGGAGATATAGGTGCTTTAGAGTTTTATGGGTTTGGGGTTTAGGAAAGGAATGAGCTCTCTGTCTCTGAAATCTAGCTGAGGATTTTGGGGGAAAGCTGCATGTTTCCGGGCAGGAATCTAGAGATGAGACAGGGCTCCCTCTCAGATCCTGCTTTACATTATTGACATGCAAACTACATGCAAAGTAATTCCTCAGAAGGAAGTTGTGTCTTGACTTTCAGAAAAGCAATTATTAGTAAGGACTTCTACAGCCAGTCCAGGCCTAGAGGGGTACAGACAGGTGGGGTAGGGAAGTGGAACAGGGCCAAGGAAGCTGTACAGTCAGACCACCAGGGCTAAAAGCTTGGATCCTGGCTTTTGAATTCCAGATTAGCTATTTTCTTTTGGTTACAGAGCTAGAAAACATTTAACCCCTCTGGAACTTCTGGTTAGCTTTGTTAATGAAGATAACAAAAGGTGACTTTTTTTGGTGTTCATGGGACTTGAACTCAGAGCCCTGAGCTCTTTTGCTTGAGACTAGGCTCTACCACTTTGAGCCACAGTGCTACTTCTGGTTTTCTGGTGGTTCATTGGAGATGAGTCTCATGGACTTGCCTGCCTGGGTTGGCTTTGAACTGTGATCCTCAGATCTCAGCCTCCTGAGTAGCTAGGATGACAGGCGTGAGCCACCAGCTCCCAGCAAAAGGCAACCTTAATAAAAGGATACTGAATTTGATTAGTCCATAGGAAGTAAACACTGTGTGCTAGGCCTGCTTAAAGCCCTTTGTCAGATGATGAATTCATCTGTTTCAGCCTGTGGATCCTTAAAGACAGAAGGTCCCCAGGCAGGAGCTCCCTCCATGTGGCCTTGGGATGCCAGGCTGAAGCACCAGGGGCAGTTGGCCTGCGGCGGAGCCTTGGTGTCAGAGGAGGCGGTGCTGACAGCTGCCCACTGCTTCATTGGGTGAGCCCTGTGTCTTTCCCCTTTGTGCCCCTAGCCCCAGCCCTGTTACCCAGTGCTGTCAATGCTGCCTCTGCACAGGCGCCAGACCCTAGAGGAATGGAGTGTAGGGCTGGGGACTGGATCAGAGGAGTGGAGTCTGAAGCAACTCATCCTGCATGGGGCCTATACTCACCCAGAAGGGGGCTATGATGTAGCCCTACTGCTGCTGGCTCAGCCCGTGACACTGGGTCCCACCCTACGGCCCCTTTGCTTGCCCTACGCCGACCATCACCTGCCTGATGGGGAACGTGGCTGGGTCCTGGGGCTGGCTCGCCAAGGAGCAGGTATGTAGGATCAAGGCCACCAGCAATTGTTCATTGAGCTTAAAGGCTGCTGGAGCAGCTGGATTTGGTTTTTTGTTTTCCCTGTCCTATAGGCATCGGTTACCCTCAGACAGTGCCTGTGACCGTCTTGGGGCCAAGGGCCTGTGGTCGGCTGCATGCAGCCTCTGGGAGCGATGACATCCCCATCCTGCCAGGGATGGTGTGTACCAGTGTTGTGGGGGAGCGGCCACACTGTGAGGTGAGTCCCAGGACCTCAAACCTCACCCAACAGGCTCCTGACCTCTCACCCTGCAGTTCATGAACAGATTTGCCAGGCTTGGCCTCTGGCCCTCACCTGAAGTCAATCTTTGCTGCCAACTAGCCCCCAAACTGCCAAAGCATTCATCTCTTGCCCCCTCGGCCCTCCTGCTGCCAAGGGGAGAGAGTTACTGAGTGTCATCTGAACTGCCAGGGCCTGTCTGGGGCACCGCTAGTACACGAGGTGAGGGGCACCTGGTTCCTGGCTGGGCTACACAGTTTTGGAGACTCCTGCCAAGGCCCTGCAAGGCCTGCGGTCTTTGCTGCACTGCCTGCCTACGAGGACTGGGTCAGCAGTTTGGACTGGCATGTCTACTTCGCTGAGCCGCCAGAGCCTGTGGTTGAGGCCGGAAGCTGCATGGCTAACTCAAGTATGTGTTCTGGGGCTTCCCTCAGGAACCTCCCAGTCCATCCAGGGAATACACAGTGCTAAACCACTTCTAGCTGCCCTGGGTGGGTGAGTGGTGGACAGACCCATGTGGATTCCAAGGACATGATGTCACCCCCTCTTTCAGCCTCAGTATTCTCATGGTCCATGGGGCCCAGACAGATCCTATTCCTTCAAGGGAGCGAACAAAACTTCAAGGACCAGGCCAGTCCCCCCACCCCTCCTTCCTCTCTTTAACAGGCCAGCCAGCCAGCTGTTGACAGGTGACTGGAGAAAAATGAGACGAGTGTTACTGCTGCACCCTCCCCCTTCCCTGGGCATCTGGGCTCTGGGGCAGGCCCAGACGTCCCTACTCTAGATCCTGCAGGACAGGGTGCCTGCCACCTGTGAAGTGCTCCCCCCCCCCCCCCCAGCCCCGCAGCTTTCCCATCCCCCCTAGCCTGTTCCCCTTGCATAAAAATCACACCAGCCAGCTTTTTCAAAAGTTTCTTTTTTTTTTTTTTATGGGGGTGGGGAGCAATTTTCCTTTTTTTTTTTAAACTTAAATAAATTGTTACAAAATAGACTTTAGAAAATAAGTTACAAACTGTAGCAAAAGGCTCCCCTTCCACAGGCAGCTTTCCCACCCATGGCATTCTCTGAATCTGCCTTTCCCTGCTGTTGGAATTTGGCTGGTGAGGGTGGGCCTGACATCTTGGCCAGAGCCTAGCCCTGGGCAAGAGCATGGTGACCGAGGCTGGGGAAGGAGGTCCTTCAAGAAAAGTGACATGAAAACACATCCCACCCTCTTCTGGGGAAAGAAGCAGACCTGACCCTCTTCCCTGGGAGAGGAGAGATGGGGATGGCCAAGAGAGTCCTGAGTGAAACATGAGATCAAGCCCCTCCCTGCCCACATGCCCCTCTCCAACGGTTTGTTCTTTGGAGACTTCAAGTTCAGAGGGAGAAGCTGAGGTCTGCAGGCCACTGGGGTGAAGGGTCCAGGAGTGGGGCTGAAGGGGTGGCTGGAGGGGGCAGTGACAAGCCTCCTCTACCTGCTGCTGGTGTCACTGGGGCTCCTGGGGAGAAAGAGGAAGTTGCTGACTAGGTGGAGCCCATGCCTCCCCAGCCCCCGCCCCCTCCCAGAGGTCATTCCCCACATGACCCCAGAGGCCCACAAGGCAGGAATCCTGAAACTTCCAATTATCTCCCCAGTCCTGGTTAACTGGCTCCTCACTCATTCCCTTCAAGTCATGACATTTTTATCCTGAACCATGTCCTCAGCTCCTATAGAACATCCACCCACTATCCCCCAGCATGTCTGGTCAAAGGTCTACCATCTGAGGGACCATGGAAGCCACCAGACTGAATGGGTCCTCTCCAGGCTCCCACGCCTCTCCAGCCTCATCCTTCAGTAGGCTGGGTGGAGGCTAGGCTACATGGAGATCCCCTCTGATACAGGATGAGAGATAAGTGCTAATGACTGCTGTTGCCACAGCTTGGCCTGGCTTCAAAGAAACAATTATCTATGACTCAGTCCTCCAGTTAAAGGATGGCAGGGAGGTTTTGCTGGTGGAAATGGTGGTTTGGTTGGATCCTAAAAAGAGATCTGCTGCAGAGAGACAGGAAAAGGCTTGACTAAAGGGGAGAAAAAGTGATGTGAGGCAATCAATGTTCACAGAAAAGGACCAGAAATCTCATTTCCAAGAAAAGAAGAGGACGAGAGATAAGCTGAAAGAGGGAAAGAGGGCCAGAGAGCTGACTACTGCCCAGTGACCCAGTTTCCATGGCCGACAGTGAAGCCATGTGGCAGTCCAATCAGCCAAGGTCACTGAAGGGACGGGCCTCAGCTCTCCCCGAACTTTTCAGGCATCCTCCCCACCACTAAGCTGTATGACACAGCCCCGGAATGGTGAGACTTTCAGTTACTGCCCTCCAGGCCTCACTCTGACTCCCTGCCTATCCTAAGGAACAGAACCTAGACAAAAATCAATGGCTTCCCCTCTTTCCTCTGGAAATCACTACTTTATTAGCTCAATCAGGAGGGTTTCCACATGTGGTAGCAGTGGTACCCAGCTACCCTTCCCCCCACACTAAGGCATAGGGCCCATTCCTCTCTGGATGCACATCTATCTCTGTCCTTGCCCAATGCATAAGGCTAATTACCTGATCTGGGAGTTCAGAGCTCAGCTGCTCCAAAGGCAGCACTGCCTAGTCTTTTTTAGTCCCCCTCTCCACCTTGGAGCTGATCTTACCCTCCATTGTGTGCCCACATCCTTCTGGGACCCTTCAATCCTCTGCCCAGCCCACTCAGGACCCCATACCAGAGCTGGCCACTGGCCACTCCTCCTGGTGCTGCTGCTGGTGCTGCAGAAAGCTGATTCGGCGGCGGAAGTGGCGGGGACAGTGAGGGCAAGTGAAAGGCCCCTCCCGGGGTGCATGGACCCGTCCATGGCCCTCCAGCCGGGCAGCTGTCCGGAAGGCTTTGCCACAGGTACTGCAGCGGTGGCGCTTGGGGTCCGTGTGAGTCCTGCCATGATTCTTGAGAGAGAGCAGATTGGGGAGAAGTTTGGGGCACAGGGAGCAGGGATAGAGTCCAGTAGTGTGGGCCTTCTGGTGGTTCAGCAGGCTGCCAGCATGGCGGTAGGAACGCCCACACTGGGCACAGCGGAAGGGCCGCTCCTTGTCTTCAGCTGCCATAGAACTTACTCCTTGTCCTTCACTAGCTGGCTCACCATTCTCTCCTGGGGCTTTGGGAGAGTCTGCTGGGGCCTCTTGAGCTTTTTCCAGACCAGGGAGAACCACCCTGTCTTCAACAGTTCCAGCTTGGGGGCTTCTGGCCTCCTCTATCTGACTTGGCACCTGACTGTGGTTCCTGGAATGAACCTGCAGGTGTGTGGCCAGTTCACGGTGGGCCTGAAAGGTCTTACCACAGTCAGGGCAGGCAAAAGTCTGGGCGGCCATATGGTTGTGGCTATGGCTCTTAGTGGCCATGGGATTTAAGATCTCCTTGGAACAGAGTAGGCAATAGCGGTGGTCTGTTTTGTGGGTGTTGTGGTTCGAGAGGCCTTCTGGCTGGAAATAGGTCTTGCCACACTGGCTGCAGGAATAAGACTGGCTCTCCAGCTGGAGCTGAGAGCCGCTGTCTCCATTGTCCCAGCTTTCCACATAACTCACACTAGGTCCATTGGACTGGGTGTCAGCAAAGTGGCAAAGATGACTGGGGATGCTTTCCCCTGACTTGCCTTCTGGCGTGGTTAATACACGACCCTGAGGAACACAACCTTCACTGGGCTTCTCTAGCCCCCTCTCTCCTTGCCACTCATCTGCCTTTTCCACACCCCACGACAGTGGCTCTGGGGCTTCTGAGATAGCTTCCCTACTGGGCCTCAGACTGTGCCCTCCTGGATTCCTGGCTCCCTCCTCCAGTTGTGAGACTGACTCAGGACCACCTGATCTGCCCTCTAGTCCCCCACCAGTCAAGTTCCCTTCACTGTCCTCTGTGCCACTGGCACCGCCCTGATCACTAGCCAGCTTTCTGGTCTCCTCATGCTCCCGCAGGTGCCGCTCAAGAGATCCCCGGCCAGAAAAGCTGCAGCCACAAAGGGCACAGCGCATGGCTGTCCGCCGCGACCGTGCAGCACGCCGCCGCCGACTCTCTGAGTGCAGCCTCTGGTGGTCCTTCAGGGCCATGCGGTTGGAATAGGTCTTGGGGCAGGAAGGGCAGCTGTATTGGCCTGTCTCGTGGCTTCGCCGGTGATTGAGGAGGCTGCCGGCATGGCGATAGGTCCGCCCACACTGCCCACACCGGAAGGGCCGATCTTCCCGGGTCAGCTTCCGCGTGGTGCCGGCCCCATGCCGCTCAGTGTGGACCCGCTGGTGGCTGGCCAGCTGCTTCCGCAGGCGAAAGGCTTTCCCACATTCGCTGCAGCGGAAACGCCGAGGGTCTGCGTGGATGCGCCGGTGGTTCTTAAGAGACATGAGGTTTGAAAAACCTTTAGAGCAGGCCTGGCAGCCAAAGTGGCCGGTCTGGTGGCTCTGCCGGTGATTGATGAGGCTGCCAGCATGCTTGTATGAGCGACCACACACTTCACAGCTGAAGGGCCGCTCAGAGCTGGTCTCCGTCTGACAGCCCTTCTCTGCCGTCTCCAGCCTCAACTCCATCTCCTCCCCTTTCACCGTGGTCTCCTCCCATGCCTCTTCCTTCACCATGGCCACCTCCTCCGGGGACTCCACTTTCAGTTCTTCCAGGGGCTGTCCCTCTTCTGCTTGCTCTAGTCCCTCTTCTGCCATGTTCTGGGGTTCACTGCCACCTTCCGCCTCTGGGATGGGCCCCACCTGGGGTTCAGAGCCTTTACAGCGAGGGTGGTTCCGCAGGTGATTGCGGTAGGCAGCCAGGTTGGGGTAGCAGCGGGAGCAGACGGGACAGACAAAGTCTCCAGTCTGGTGGATCTTGCGGTGGTTGACCAGGCTACCCCCATGGCGATAGGTCTTGCCACACTGATTGCAGCGGAAGGGGCGGGGCTGGGCTTGCAGAAAACTTTCATCCACCTGCATGCAAAGGCTGTCTGCAATGCTGTCATCTATTCCCTCTTCAGACTTGGTGTCTCCATCTTCTCCGGAGACAGAGGTGCCCTCAGAGATAACGCCGGCAACCATCTCTGTGGCATCGTCAACCGCTCCCATGTGGCTGGGATCCTTGTCGGAGGGAGTCTCAGAACTCTGACTCTGATGGTGACGCTCTAGGCTCCTCAGGTCATCGTAGGTCTGACCACAGCAGCCACAAATGTGTCCATAACCTGTGCCGCCCAGCGCCTCCACCTCCCGTTGCAGCTGGTTCAGCAGCTCTGCTTCTGAGAGCTGTAGCAGAGGGCTGTGGGTAGAAGCTGTCTCTGCTGCTCCTTCTTCCCCCTCTTCCTCTGAGCCCTCAGTCATGCCAGAAGCATTGTGAACCTGGCGCTGGTGAAGCCTGTAGCCAGCCCGCCCAGGAAAGATCATACCACACAGGGAGCAAAGGAATGGCTGGGCCGCGGCTGCCTCCCCAGGGCCATGGTTCTGGAAGTGATTGCGAAGGGCAGGCAGAGAATCAAATTCCTTTGGGCAGAGGGAACACTGATAGATGCCTGGTGGGTGGCAGGGCCTGTGGTTGAGCAGCCCAGTGGCATGGGGGAAGGAATGCCCACAGTCAGAACACGTATGAGCAACCTCAACCTGCCAGTCGAGGTCGGTCTCTATGGGTTGGGAAGACGAGTTGGTCTGGTTAGTGGAGGGTTTATGGTCTTCGGCCAACCCAGTGAGGCCATCACAAAAGTCAGTTCCACTGCCTTCCTCATCAACTGGAATGCCCAAGTTGTTAAGGAAACAGGCTTTCTTCCTTTCCAGCTCTTCCTCAGGGCCTCTGCTTTCCTCATCACCCTGGAAACAGGCTTCATCCCTCTCAAGCTCACATTTATTGTTTTCCAATTCAGCCTGGAAACAGTCCCTGTCACTTTCTGTGTTGTCTTCAGTCACACAAGGACTATCCTCCAAAGGCTCTTGGGAAGGGTCCAGGCCCTCACTGTCCTCCAATTCCTGGGCCCAGGTTCCTGCTGGTAGTTCTGCTGGTGGGAGTTTGGCCTCTCCTCCGCCAGTACTGCTAGCCTGCTTCTGATGCCGCCGGCTCTGTCGCCGGCTATGGCGTCGCAAGTGGCTCTTCATGGCAGCCATGGTGTGGAAGTGCTTGGCACAGGCCCCACAACTGAAGTCTCCTATCTGGTGGGTCTGTCTGTGGTTGATAAGGCTGCCCGAGTGGCGGTAGCTCTTTCCACAATCTCGGCAAGCGAATGTCCGAGGTGAAGATGCGGTGGTCTCTGTCCTGCTATTCTCCCCTTCCTCTGCCCTGTGAGTCACACAGTGATATTCGAGGCTCTCCATGTCACAGACACTGGGGGTCCCCTCTTCATCTTTGCAGACATGTGCCTGCTCCCTGTGGGGAGCTGCCTCTGTTCCCGCTGGCTCAGGGAGGATCTTCCTGTTGGTGCAGCCGGGAGGCTCTTCAGCCTCAGTCCCTGGGCCTGCACGTTGGCGAGCAGCCTTGCAATGTACTCGCACATGGTTGCGCAGGGCCATGAGGTTGGGGTACTTGCGGGGACAGAGCGAGCACTGGTACTCTCCTGTCCGGTGGCTGTGGCGGTGGTTCACTAGGCTTCCCCGGTGGCGATAAGCCCGGCCACACTCAGCACACTTGTAGGGGCGATGGTCCAGGATACTGGTGGGGACTTCTCCCTCCTTGCAGTTGGTGTCCGACCCCAGGTCTCTAACACCAGCTACTGGCACAGATGTCTGCCCATCTTCCCCAGCTCCTTGCCGGGGTCTGTGATGAGCCCGAACATGGTTTTTGAGAGCCGCTGCATTGAACAACTGCTTGGAACAGACCGAGCAGGGGTACACACCCGTTTGATGACTCTTTCGATGGTTGATGAGGCTCCCAGCATGTCGGTAAGTTCGGCCACAGTCCCCACAACGGAAAGGCCGATATTCCTCCAAACCTCCATCTTCCAGCTCTCCAGAGCCATTCAGCATCTCTAATTGGTCCCGGCTGCTGTCATTTGTATGTCCATTGGTGATGGGCATCCCCTTTTCTCCCCATGGCTCCTCTTGCCTTTCCGCATCATGGGACTGCTGGTGTTCCAGCAGCTCCCGGGGAAGCCGGAAGGCACGGGGACAGTGGGGACAGTGGTATGGCCGATACTGGGCGTGGAGTCGGGAATGGTTCTTCAGAGCCATGAGGTTAGAGAACTCCTTAAAGCAGATGGCACAAGGATAGATGCCCAGGGTGTGGCTCTGGCGGTGGTTGGTGAGGCTCCCGGCATGCTTATAGGTTTTACCACACTGATTGCACTTGTATCTCCTCTCCTCCTCAGCAGGAGGGGACTGAGTAGACTCCTGGCTCCCTGTAAAGTTCACTACTGATTCTGCTAAATACTGCTCTAAATTGCTAAGGAGGCTGCTGGCTGGGGTGGGTAGAGGTGGGGCTCTGGCAGTCGAGTTGGTGGTGGGGTCCCAAGCCTCCATTTCCCCCTCAGGATCTGGCTGGCTTTCCCAGCCTTCTCTTTGCCTGGTGGGTGGATCTTCCCAAGTACCTGGAGCTGCCCTGGGGTCAGGCCCAGATTCACAGTCAGGGGTTTCTTTAGCATGTTTTGTCTGGTTTTCCCAGTCTTCCCCAGGCCCAAGTCTCTGGCCCCAAGAGTCACCAGACACTGTCTCACTCTGGAGATGTGGAGTAGCTTCCTTGGGGCGAGGGGGCCTTCGTCTGCGGCGGCCCTCAGGAGCATGAGTCCTCATGTGGCTCTTGAGGGCCATGGGATTGGTAAAGTCTTTGCCACAGGTGATACAGGGGAAAAGGCCAGTCTCATGGGTACGGCGATGGTTGACCAGACTCCCTGGGTGACGGTAGCCCCGCCCACACTGCTGACAGCGGTAGGGCCGAGGAATACTGTCAGTCTCTTCACTGTCCTGATTGGGAGATGGATGGAGTAGTTCTCGGTGTCTCAAGAGTTCTGGGAGGCTAGGAAAATGACGCTGACAATCAGAGCAGCTGAATGAGCGGGGCGGGTCCTCCATGGGGCAATGTGACAGAAACCAGAAACCTGGAGGTTCAAGAGGAGCAGACAAGTAGCAGCAGCATTTTCCTCTGGTGGAGGGGACAAGGCCTAGGAAGAGGAGGAAGAAGGGGCAGTGGTCAAAAGGATGGCCTCAATTAACCTTGCCACTTTTTTTTTTTTGGTCGGTTGTAGGGCTTGAATTCTGGGCCTGGGCACTGTCCCTCAGCTCTTCAGCTCAAGGCAAGCACTCTACCACTTGAGCCACAGCACCACTTCCGGTTTCTGAGTGGTTTATTGGAGGTAAGAGTCTCACGGACTTTCATGCTGGGCTGGCTCTGAACAGAGATCCTCAGATCTCAGCCTCCTGAGTAGCTAGGATTACAGACATACGCCACCAGTACCTGGCTTTAACCTTGCCTCTTGACTATATAAGCAACAAGTTCACCAAAAGCCACTGGGAGGTCTCCCAACTATCAACTAATCTGGAAGTAGCATCATTAAGACTTCCCTAAGTACAAACTCCTCAAATGTGGAAGCTCCTCTTGGCTTAAGTCATCCCCCCACAAAAGAAAAAAAGAAAGAAAGAAAAGAAAAACAGTCTACAGAGATCTAATTGAGCCTTTTTAAAATTTTTTTCTGGGCCAGCACTGGGGTTTGAACTCAGGGCCTCACCACTTCCTAGGCTACTATTTTGAGCTACAATTCCAGCTTTAAGTTTTGCTGGATATTTTGGAAATGGAGTCTAGTGAATTCTTCTGCCTGAGCTAGCCTCAAATCAAAATCTTTCAGATCACAGCCTCTTGCATTGCTAGGTGAGAGCGCCACTGATGTCTGAGTAGATCTAAACTACTTTCTGATCACAGACCTATTTTGTTTTCAGACTAGACCCAAAGGTCTTAGTGTCCCTGATCCTCTACTCCCAGTAGCTAAAAAAAAAAAAAAAAGAAAGAAAAAGTGATATCTTAAAAGAAGGCATGACCAGTAAGATCATACAATCCTTCCTTCATTAACCTTCAGCTACATGCGGTAGCCTGGAAGCGCTGATTCTCCAGCTAAAAAAAAGAAGAGGTAAGACCTCTTCACAGAAAGGTCCAGCTTGTACCCTCATACCTGTAGTTCTTTCAAGTATCACAAGGTGTCCTTCCCAAGACTCCTCACTTCCCTTACCTACTTTTCTGGAGCCTAAACTATCTCCCATCTTGAAAGTTCATCCCATTTCAGGTCAAAATTTCATTCCAATCCTCTACCCTTCTCTGATTCACACTGCCTTACCTTCCCATCACCACCAGTTGTCGTGTTTGTTTTGCTTTTTCTTCTTCTTCTACGTCCTCTCTTACTATTGATGACAGCCACTCATGCTGGGCATTCCCATGCGCCAGGCGCATGTGGCAAGGATGGTCACTGTGTCTGACCCTAAACCCTCACCACTTTGCAATGTCTCGGTCCACCTAGTTTCCACATGCGCTCACCCAATTGGCAAAGGCAGTCTTCCTACCAAAGCTCTGCCTTTCCCAGTAGCAGCCCCTCGTGCCTTCTACACCATCTTGGCCTTTTCCGACCCTGATTCTTCGGTCCCATGGGACTCCAACACGAATCCGACCTCGGATTGCTACACCTCCTCACGGAGCCTGTCCCCGCTGTTCTCACCTCCGACAACTCCTGACGCCCAAGAGTCTCTTTCCCTAAATCAACCACCAGCGAAGTCCTCTGGCATCACTCATCCTCTCTGACAATTTGTTTTCTCTCAGGACCCCCTACCTCGCACCGGCCAAGCCCCTTTTCGTTCCCGCCGCGGGCGCGTCCGTTGGGGAGGGGAGGGGGGGGGGAACCGCGAACGGGAGTGCGCCTGCGCACTGGGACCCTTACCCTAACTGCAGCCGCGCGCCCTAACGGGTAGCTGTGGGAAGGGTCTCATGGCTCCCACACATGCACACTCAGCCAGGGCTCCTGGGAGGTGAAAGCGGAGAGAAAGAGAAGGGGGGGGAGAGACAAGGGAGGAGGAGAAAGGTGGAGGGAAGAAGGTACAGCTGGTGTGAGCCAGGAGTCAACCCGCAGCTTCGCGGACACTTCCTATTGTTACTAGGAAACAGGAAGTGTCCGAGATGCAAAAGCTTCCCCGAGAAACTTCCGTTCTCCGAACACTTCCCGTCCCGCCTCCAAACAGCTGTCCGCAGACACACTTCCGGCGTCGGGCTCTGGCCCCGCCCAGGCAGGTCAGCGCGCGGCGGTTTTCCTGCGTACTATCTTAGCCACACTTCCGCTCGCCGCCGCTCAAGTCCTTCCGGTGCTTATTGAATAAACGCCGTAGAGGGGAGAAAAAAATAATAATAACGATCATAATGTCCTGCCGTCCCGGCCACGGCCTTTTGGTGACACTTTTCATGGCACTTCTCAAGACATATGGGTGAGGCTTCGCCAAAGGAAGTGTTGTGAGCTAGAAGCGGATTTAGGTCCCACCGAGCTTGAGAACCTAAGCCTGGCCCGACCTCCCACCTCCTGGCTCTCGGAGACACTTCCGGTGGCCGGGCGGGTGTACATGCTGTCAGTGCAGCCCGGCCTCCCCTCCTTTTGACACCCCGAGACTCCTGGCAAGATGTTTCCCTGCCGTCGTAGATCGGAGGCGTAAACTTTCGCTCCTTCCTCGGCCGGGGGAGCTCCCGCCACTTCCGTTCTCTGGCCTGCCCGCCCCGCCCTCCCTGCGTCCCGCTCGGTCCTAGCGCCGTCCTCTACCCTTCCCGCAGCGTCCCGGGCTCGGTGGGTGCGCCAAGCCGACGCCAGCGCCACGGAGCCAGCCCGAGTCGGATCAGGTAGGAGACGCCTGCGACCCGTCGCAAAAGGCCTCGGGCAGCCTCGGCGCGGACGCGATCCCAACTGGCTTCAGTTTCCCTGTGGGCGCCGTAGGAGGACTGGGCTGGCCCGGGCGCGAGCTGCGCGGGCGGGGCGGGCGAGGAGCGGCCCGGGAAGGCTACGGGCCCAGCGTGGTCCTAGAACCCGCCGGCTGTCCCCCGCGGGCCGGCTGCTGCGGACGCCTGAGGTCGGCCGACGATGCTGCCGGCCTTACCCGGTACGGGCCCAGGGGTCCTAGAGCCCGTCTTGTTGCGGGCTTTTGTTTCTGCTTGCGCGGCCTGACAAGCCTAGGTCCCCGGCAACCGTGGGCCCCCTCCCCGGCGGAGGCCCTGACCGCCCCTCCCGCGGTCCTAAAGAACGCCATCTTGCAGGCCTTTGTCCTGCCGGCGGTCCTTGGTCCATTCATTTGTTCCTCCACGCGATCTCCATCGACTCTTGCCACGTTGTGAAAGCTACGTTTTCCTACGGTTTATTCCAAAAAAAAAAAAAAAAATGAGTCAGCCCAAGGCCCTGCCCTACTGAGACTGCCTGTCTGGCGACATAGAGAGCGAGGAGCACTGGGCTTCCATAGCTCTTGGCTCCTCCGTGGATTGTCTGGTAGGCCCAAAGGCCGTGCAAACTCCCTTATATTTCGGGGGCCTCGAAATTTTTTGCCGATGAGGAAACTGAGGCTCAGAGCGTTGTGGATCCTTGGGGAAGGGAGTAATGGAAGGATGTAAAATGTGTTCCCGTGGGCGAAAGGAAGCAAGGGCAGTACCTTTAGAAGTGGGCTAATTTCAGAATGTAGCTGGAGCTTAGGTTGCTTTCCAGAGGGCACACAGCCACAGAAGCTGAGGCTGAAAAAGGAGTTGGGATCAGGTTGTGAGAGAGCTGACCAGGTATCAGACCTAGAATATGAATAGCGGCCACCTTTAGAGTTCCACTAACTCTCATCAGATCCCATCTGGCTACCAAGGCTTATGTGATGTCTTATTTGTTTAGGATGGGAGACACTTAAATGTCTCCTTTTAGTCCCATTCTGTTCCCCCCTCTCACAGACCCTAACCTAGGCTTTGGGGGAATTCAGTCTCTTTACCTGATGAACACGCTCCCTCATTACAACAATGAATGGAATATCTTGGGGCCATATTTGGACTTTGTGAGCTTGAGGGATGAGAAATTCAGTTAATAAACAGCTGCTGAGGACGCTGGTGGGTCACTCCTAACACTCAGGAGACTGAAATCTGAGGATTGTGGTTCAAAGCCCGGCAGGGCAGGGAAATTTGGCAGATTCTTATCTTCAGCTATCAGTAAAAACCTGGAAGTACAGCTGTGGCTCAGGAATTGAGTGCCAGCCTTGAGCAAAAAAGCTATGGGACAGCACCCAGGTCCTGAGTTCAAGTCCCAATATGGGCACGAGTACATACACACACAACAGTTGAAATCTAACCTGCCATCAAAGCAATAGGGAATAAGGGATAGAGAGTCTGATCCAGGAGCTCTGAATACTATAATTACTTTGTTTCTCTATGGTGTTACTTCTTATAAGAATGTTACTCTTTTGAGAACCCGTGTGTGGCTCACTCACACCTGTAATCCTGGTTATTCAGGCCGCTGAGATCTGAGGATCGGGGGTTAATGCCAGCCCCAGCAGGAAAATAAGTCCCAGTGACACTCTTACCCCCAATTAATCACAGAAAAAGCCAGAAATGGTGTCTCAAGTGGTAGAGTGCTAGCCTTGAGCAAAAAGAGTTCAGGGACAGTGCCCAGGCCCAGAGTTCAAGCCCCAGAACCAGCCAAAAAATAAAAATTAAAAAGTGCTACTCTTGTTGCATTAGGGCTCCACCCTTATGACTTCATGTAATTTTTCTAAATCTCTGTGTCAAAATGTCACAGTGAGGGTTAGGGTTTTAATATATGGATTTGGGAAAAACATACTGTCTTTAACAAACTCCTGAGCAGTTGTGAGCTTAGCTTGAGAAATTTGAGCAGTATATATAAAATGCTTAGAATGACAGTTGGCCACAGTAAGCAGTGTGGGATCCAGATGACACCAGCTGGGTGCTGGTGGTTCATGCCTGTAATCCTACTCGGGAGCCTGAGATATGAAAATCTCAGTTCAAAGCCAGCCCAGGCAGGAAAATCTATGAAACTCTGGTCTTTTTTTTTTTTTTTTAAGGTCGTGGGGCTTGAACTCTGGGCCTAGGCGCTGTCCCTCAGCTCTTCAGCTCAAAGCAAGCACTCTACTACTTGAGCCACAGCACCACTTCCGGTTTTCTGGTGGCTAATTGGAGTCTCATAGACTTTCCTGCCCAGGCTGGCTTGGAACCACGATCCTCAGATCTCAGCCTCCTGAGTAGCTAGGATTACAGACATGAGCCACTGACACCTAGCTTCTGATCTCCTATTAACCACCAAAAAAACTAAACTTGAGTTATGCCCAGTACCAGTACAAAAAATAAATAAAGGAAAAGGAAAGAAGGGCTAGAGAGTAAATAGCAGGGTTACAGATAGCATTAGGAAAGTTAGTCACTGTCATAGGGATGAGTACTTGCCTAGTGTGCTTGAGGCTCTGATTTTTATCCTGTCACTGCAGAAAAGGAAGGAAGAAGTGAATAATGAGTCAGACCCAAGCATGATGATGCATGCCTGTAATCCCAGCATTTGAGGTAGAAGGGGGATCAAGAGTTGGAGACCAGCCTGTAGTGTTCCAGGCCAGCCACACAGTTGAGACCCTGATGAAAGATAGGAAGGGAGGGAGGGAGGGAGAAAGAAAATTGGTCTCTTGACCACTTCTTTGAGAAGTTGTCAAGGACCTGATACCCAAAGGCAACCAGGAGACAGCTATACAAAGCTCTTGGGGGAATCATGGAAAGCTGGCCTGGTGGGTGGAGTCTGGTGATGTAGGGGAGAGGGATTAGAAGGTAAGGTAGGCAGGAGTTAGATGGATTGGAGCCTTGTTGACCTTGGAAAAAGTACTGGTCTTTTTCTTGGGAACAGTGTCATGATTTGGTTTAAAAATCCTCACGTGAACAAAAACAGGCAGAGAAAGAGTCCAGCTCCAGGTTTGATGACTTGAATTTGAATCTGGGCTCCTTGATTAGCTCTGTGTCCTTCTGCACAGTTGTGTTTTTTTGTTTTTTGTTTTTTTTAACTTTGTGGCGTCTTGATCTCCATATCTTAAAAAGAAAAAAGTTGTAATAGAACTATATCTTTCTCTAGAATGTGTGCAAACCTAAGGGTATGTGTTTGTTTTGCTTCTGAGGCTAGGGGAAGCAAGAGCAGGGTTAGGCAAGTTCTACCATGAATTACATTCCATGTATTTTGTTCTTGTGTTGGTTGAAGGGTTGCAGCAAGTGTGCTTAAAATACAGATTCTTAACCAAGTGCTGGTGGCTCACACTTGTAATTCTACCTTCTTTGACTGAGATCTGATGATCATGCTTTAAAACCAGCCTGAGCAGGAAACTGTCCATGGGATTCTTGCCTTTAATCAACCAGCAAAAAATGGAAAATGGAGCTTCAGGAAAATACTTGAAGCCCTGGTATTGGCACCCAAAATAAATAAAGAAACAAAATAAAATACAGATTCCTGTGTCCTGCCTAGATGATCATTTCGATGTAGGGATTTTGCAAAACTCACCAGGGTTGGAAGAGTCATCAGTAAACTGAAGTGAGGCTCTAATGGATTGCAGATGGGCCTAACCTATTTGATCCTGTATGGAACTGGGTGCCAAAGGTACAGTTTTCCTTGGAGAATGTTTTGGACTTCTTCCCCACCCCCAGTAACTATTTTATAGATAGGAATATCAAAGCCCAGATCCAGCAAGGGCCAGAAGAGAGGCCAGATCTAAGAACCAGTAAGCCCAGTCCTCTGAGACATGAAGGGTACTGATTGCAAAGCATTTCCATAGGATAAGAGAAGACAGATGAAGTCTAAACTTAGAGTTCTGTTCATTGTGAGGCTGATTCACAACTTAAAATAATTTAAACAGCTAGATTCAAGTCTCAGCTACATGAGTTAATAACTACAAGACTGTGGGCAAGTTAATATCACTTTCAAAACCTCAGTTTATTCATCTGTAAAATGGGCACAGTAGTCCCTACTTTAAGAAGTGATGAATTAGGCAAGGTAGCACATCAGCAAAGGGTCTGCTTCTGAAAATGAAATAATTGAGGGTGGTATTTATTTCTATCTCATTCAATCCTCTGATCCTGTAAGGTTAAGTACTGTTTTTACCTCTCCATTTTTCAGATGAGGAAACAGGTTCTAAGACATGCAGTAAATTTCACAAGGTTACATCAGCTGGAGAGCAATGGAGTCAAGATCTGAAGCTGGGCATTCTGGCTTCAGAGGCTCTGCACTTAACCACGGTACTGTCCTGTTTTTCTGGACCTCAGTTCCTTTATCAATGAAAAGGACGTTGCTCATGGTGTTGACGTGAAGGGTAAGTGACTTAACACATGAAGAGTGTAGGATACTGTCTGGAATTTGGCATATTCTTAATAGATGTGAGCTGTCACTTTTCTTCCTTCTTCCTTTTGCTCAAGACTGATGCTCTACCACTTGAGCCACAGCTCCACTTCCCAGTTTTGCTGGTTAGTTCGAGATAAAAGTCTTATGATTTCTTCTCTCCAGGGTGGCTTCAAACTATGGCCCTCATATCTGAGGCTCCTGAGTAGCTAGGATAGGGGTGTAATCTCAAACTTGGAACCACCAATGCCCAGCTCAGAGCTCAAGCCTTTTTATTCATCATCATACCCCAGGGTACAGTGGTCAATTGAATATAATGAGAACAGAGGTGTTTGTGATTGGAGTCAAAATCCAAAGAGGAAAGTAGGGCTTAAATGAAATTTGGGAACAACCAGGACAAACTAACAGTGTGGTGGTGGGAGCCATGGAAAGTTCTTGTGTAGGGGAGAGGGACCACAGAGAAGCCACGTTTTGAAATATCAAATTGGGAGTCTTTTGGAGAACGGACAGCTGCAGGTTGACTCCTAGCACAAAGACCTGCAAGCCTTAACAAAAGTGTTACACCTAGGCAGAACAAATTGGATGAGCATACTTACATCTAATAAAAGTGTTACACATAAAACAAAGCAAGGAGCAAGGGGCTCTGAGCCTCTCTCTCTTTCCTCAGCTTCGTCCTCCTCCTCAATCTGTGTCGTAAGTTAGAAGCCAACCCCTGAGGCACACAGATGAGGAAACTGGCTTATAAACAAGCAGTGATTTTCCTGAGATCTAGTAAGTTATCCCAGGGCTCGAAGTAGAATGGAGGCTGTCTAGCCTCTGGGCACATCTGGCTCCCCCCCCCCCCCCAGCTGCTGCATCTGAGCTCCCTTAAGTGGATCTGCTGTAATCCTTTTCCCTTCATCCCCTTGGGGAGGATGAGCTGGTGTTAAGACTAATGCAGCCATTAATCCTATTTCCTCCCAAATGTGATCCTTGGAGCAGCTGGGTGACTGGTGTCTGGGCTCTGGCCCAGAAAGTAGAAACCTCTGCTTAGAGCTGGTGTCCCAAGAGGCCTTGGTAGATCAGATTCATCGATTATGACTGAGAAAGAGGCTACTGACAGCCTTGAGAGCAAATAAATCTCTCCATTACCAGAGTTCTGGGATTAGGAGTACAACTGCAATGCCAGAGCAGAGGGTGGACCAGGATTCCTGCCTGGGGTGGAGTCCCGTACAGCTGTTCAAGGCCAGAATTCTTTGTGAACAGTTGCTTCTCTGAAGGGTTAACCAACCAGACAGGGAGACAGCCTGAATATATTGGGGTACCACATGGTGCCAATTACATTTAGCCAACTGGCTTCTCCTTCTCCCAGACCCAGGTCTGTCTTCCCTGGGTGATTGGAAACCTTCAGGTTAAGAACCACAGCTATTTATACTGAGTCCTGGCATAGTCCTTGGACACTGAGCTGAAGAAGGAAGATGGCAAGACTAAAGGAACCTAGGCATTCGAGACCGCCACAGGATTTCTCCACACTCTGAAAGTTCACAGAGACTGTGGAGCAAAGTGCAGGTAGATCTTTTGGGACCTTAGCACCCACTACCCCCTACCCCCAGTCCTTTACCTGGTTCATTTCTAGCCTCAATGAGCAGATCACAGAGGAAACGGGAACGCTGAGTTTGAGTCAGGGATGGTTGGCAGGAAGGATGTGGGGGTCGTGTGGTTTGTGCCGTCCCAGGTGGGAAGAGCAGATGAGATTATAGGATGTTTTGGTGAGAAAACAGGCCTTGAAGGACCACGGCTGTGGCCTGACTTTGCTTCTCTTGCAGAGAAGCCCCACCCACCATGGAGGTGGAGGCGGCAGAGGCCCGGGCCCCAGCTCCTGGCTACAAGCGGTCTGGCCGCCGCTATAAGTGCTTGTCCTGTACCAAGACATTTCCAAATGCGCCCAGGGCAGCGCGCCACGCTGCCACCCATGCACCTGCAGCCTGTAGTGAGGAGGTGGCCGAGGTGAAGCCAAAGGCGGATGCAGAACCCAAGGCCGAGGAAGCCGGTGGGGACAAGGTATCAGGGTCAGCAGCCAAGCCTCGGCCTTACGCCTGTCCTCTGTGCCCAAAAGCCTACAAGACGGCACCTGAGTTGCGCAGCCATGGGCGCAGCCACACAGGCGAGAAACCCTTTCCGTGCCCGGAGTGTGGGCGTCGCTTCATGCAGCCAGTGTGCCTGCGCGTGCACCTGGCCTCGCACGCTGGCGAGCTGCCCTTCCGATGTGCACACTGCCCCAAGGCCTATGGCGCGCTCTCCAAGCTCAAGATCCACCAGCGTGGTCACACGGGCGAGCGGCCCTACGCCTGCGCAGATTGCGGCAAGAGCTTCGCCGATCCCTCGGTGTTCCGCAAGCACCGACGCACTCACGCCGGCCTGCGGCCCTATGGCTGCGAGCGCTGCGGCAAGGCCTACGCCGAGCTCAAGGACTTGCGCAACCACGAACGGTGAGGGCCCCGTCTGGGGGGCTGGAGGCTGCTTGGAGGCGGTAGCCAATGGGGACTGGGGTCGAGGCTCGCGCAGCAGAATGAGCCAATGGGGAGGTGGGCGTGGTCCTTGGGGGTGGGGCTGGGTTCCCTGGTAGAACTGGCGTTGATCTAATGGGCGGAGCCGATGACTAGAGATGGAGCCTGGGAGGAGTTGGGGTCTGACGGGAGCAGGTTCTAAGGAAAGCTGGAGAAGGAGCATGGTTTAAAGTTGGGCATCCCAGCTTCGTCTTTGGCGAAGTCTGGGTGTGAGTTGGGTTTGGCTCACCCGAGTCTTCAATGTGCAGAGGGGTCTGCTTTTTTGTTTTGGTTTTTACTGTGAATGGGGGTGGAGGTGGCAGGCACTGTCCTGAGCTTTTTTGCTTAAGGCTAGCGCTCTACCACTTGAGCCACAACTTTACTTCCAGCGTTTTGCTAATTGGAGATGAGTCGCATGGACTTTCCTGTCCAGTGTGGCTTTGAACCGTTATCCTCAGCTCAGCCTCCTGAGTGGTTAGGATTACAGGAGTGAGGCACCGGTGCCCAGCAGGTTTTCTTTTTGTTTTTTGTTTTTTTTTAAGTCGGGATCTCGCTGTGTATCCCAGGCCGGCCTGGGCACCCGATCCTCTGCCCCGCCTCGGGAGTGCCCTGGGGTTTCTCCCCGTGGCTCTTAGGGGACCTTTAAGGGTGGTCTCTAAATGACAGCTCGGACAGGCAGCAGGGCCCTGGACCCTGCGAGGGTCTGTGGCCCTCATGCCCGGCTCCCCGCGCCCCCCGCAGGTCCCACACTGGTGAGCGCCCCTTCCTGTGCTCCGAGTGCGGAAAGAGCTTTTCTCGCTCGTCGTCGCTCACGTGCCACCAGCGCATCCACGCGGCGCAGAAGCCCTACCGCTGCCCGGCCTGCGGCAAGGGCTTCACGCAGCTCAGCTCCTACCAGAGCCACGAGCGCACGCACTCGGGCGAGAAGCCCTTCCTGTGCCCGCGCTGCGGCCGCATGTTCTCCGACCCGTCCAGCTTCCGGCGCCACCAGCGCGCGCACGAGGGCGTGAAGCCGTACCGCTGCGAGAAGTGCGGCAAGGACTTCCGGCAGCCGGCCGACCTGGCCATGCACCGGCGCGTGCACACCGGCGACCGGCCCTTCAAGTGCCTGCAGTGCGACAAGACCTTCGTGGCGTCCTGGGACCTCAAGCGGCACGCGTTGGTGCACTCGGGCCAGCGGCCGTTCCGCTGCGAGGAGTGCGGGCGCGCCTTCGCCGAGCGCGCCAGCCTCACCAAGCACAGCCGCGTGCACTCAGGCGAGCGCCCGTTCCACTGCAACGCCTGCGGCAAGTCCTTCGTGGTGTCCTCCAGCCTGCGGAAGCACGAGCGGACCCATCGGAGCAGCAGCAGCGAGGCTGCGGGGGCCGCCCCCCAGCAGGAGCTGGTGGTGGGGCTGGCCCTGCCGGTGGGCGTGGAGGGCCCGGCCGCCCCAGGGGCGGCGCTGGGGGACCCCCCGGCCGGGCTGCTGGGGCTGCCCCCGGAGTCGGCCGGTGTGATGGCCACGCAGTGGCAAGTGGTGGGCATGACGGTGGAGCACGTGGAGTGCCTGAACGCGGGCGGCGCGGAGGCGCCCGGCCCCATGGGCGAGACGGGCGAGGTGGGGGGCGGCGAGGAGACGGACGAGAAGCCCCCGCAGTTCGCGTGTCGCGAGTGTAAGGAGACCTTCTCCACGCTGACGTTGCTGCGGCGCCACGAGCGCTCGCACCCAGAGCTCCGGCCCTTCGCCTGCACCCAGTGCGGCAAGAGCTTCTCAGACAGGGCCGGGCTGCGCAAGCACAGCCGAACCCACAGCTCCGTGCGCCCCTACGCCTGCCCGCACTGCCCCAAGGCCTTCCTGAGCGCCAGTGACCTGCGCAAGCACGAACGCACGCACCCCGCGCCCATCGAGACCCCCGCTCCCCTGGAGCCCCTTGTGGCTCTGCTGGGAATGCCTGAAGAGGGGCCAGCCTGAGCCCGCCGTCCCCCCATCCGCGCCCAGCGCGTGTCTCCCCAACTGCCTTGTGCCCCACCCCACCCCCACCTCCCCAGCTCGATCTAGACTCTGGGTAACCTATTCTTGGGCAACTAGCTCACCTGGCTGCACCCGAGAGCTGGCATGCTGGAGGCTGGGCGCACTTGTGAGGACTGAAAACCCCTCATCAAAGCATCCACTCCGACACCGGGTCCTCTAATGTGTTCTAGTTGGGGTGAGTGGTTGGGAGTTTGATCATCAGGTAAGGTTCAGTGGAGACCCCTGAACTGACCGCAAACTAAAAGGGTTTTTAGATGCATGGTTTCCCAAGGAATCTTAAGGGATATCTTGGGACAAAGGATTCCGTGGCCAAGTCGGCACAGAAGGCCCTCGACCCTTGGGAATTCCTGGTGGTTCCACGTTGTATGCATTGAAGGCATTAAATCCTGTACCAACAGATCTGTTTAGATGTGTTTTGTACACACTTTGGACCATGGAAACCTTTTACTGAGTAATGCTACTTCTTCTGTCCTTTTATGGATAATTAATGGAGGCTCAGCATTTACCTCCTGTAAATGACGATGACAAACTAGAAAATATACTTGAAGAAAGAAAACACTCCCATGCACAACAATGAAACCCATGAATTACAAAGGAAAAAAAGCTCACAAGAAATGTGCAAACCCTATATGAAGAAAATGATGAAGTAATGAGGACATGAATGGAAAAAGTTGTTACTAAAAGGACTGGGATTTAGCTCAGTGGCAGGACTTGCTTAGCATGTGACTTCTATCCCCAGCACTGGGAGAATAAAAAAAGTTTGATCCTTAAATTCACGGCCATTCTAGAAGATTCCTTTTTTTCCTTATTCGTATGCATGTTTTACATCCTTAGCAAAAGAATCCCAGGATTTTTGCTTTCACATGATTGTCTTTTTTTTTTTTTTTTTTTTTTTAATGGCTTTTGATGCTAGCTAAGGTCAGTACATGGAAAGCAAAATGACAGGTTTGGAAGCTATTTTGCCATTTCTTTAAGTCTTTGAGCTGCAGGTCAAATCTAAGACTGATCGTTCCGTACCTATTTAACCTGCCTATGAGGTTCACAGTGATTTTTCTAGCTCTGTGATCACATCAGTGATTTTAAATTCACCAGTGTAGCTGTTTTGTCAGTAGCTAGACACTGATGATGAATTTGGGGCGTTGATAGCTCATGCCTGTAATCCTAACTACTCAGGAGGCTGAATTCCAAGGTTTACAATTCAAAGCTATCCTAGGCAGGAAAGTCTGTGAGATTCTCATCTCCAATTGACCACCAAAAGCTGAAAGTGGAGCTATGGTTCAAGTGGTAGAGCACCAGCCTTGGCAACAAAGCAAGGGACACCCTAGATCCTGAGTCTAAGCCTCAGTACCAGCATGTGTGTGTGCACACATACACATGAGAAATTGGATGATGACTTTGGAGCATGGTGCAATAAGACCCTGCTATTGGTCTATTTTGGAATACTCTGCAGAGCATCTCCCAGGATATCTTGTGTGTGCCATTACGTGGCATTGAAAGATGGCAGAAAGAACCCAGAGAGTATCTTTTTGACAGGGTGATTGAACCCAGGGTCTTTTATATGCAAAGTGCACACTACACCACTGAGCTACTCCACACAACACATTAAAGAAAAAAAAAAGGTGTATAAATCCATGAATGGAGTGAGACAGGGTTTTCTGAAATAACCCTGAAGATTTCTGTGACTTAAGTATGACTTGGAATGAATCTGGAGAAGACTGCTACATAGCTTTCTTTGAAATATATTGTGAAGCCTAGATTTAATCTCTAGCACAAAAGTGAAGGGGAAAAAAGTGTCAAGCCAGGCGCTGGTGGCTCACACCTGTCATCCTAGCTACTCAGGAGGCTGAGATCTGAGGATCTCGGTTCAAAGCCAGCCCAGGCAGGAAAGTCCGTGAGACTCTTATCTCCAATAAACCACTTGAAAACCAGAAGTGGCATGCTGTGACTCAAGTGGTAGAGCGCTCACCTTGAGCTGAAGAATATAGGGACAGCGCCCAAGCCCAGAGTTCAAGCCCCACAACCAACCAAAAAAAAAAAAAGTGTCAAGTGAAAAACACAATAGGAGGATAAGATTTGATGAAGGATGGCAAAGTAAAATGTGGAACCATTTGATTGTGTGGTTACTATATGTGGTTAGTATGTTCCCCTTTGGTCCAAATTACACACAAGTGCTCAAATTCTTGCAGAATATTTCCAGATTACTCAAGAATTGATTGTAATTTCTATCCACGAGGGCCTTCCCATTTATAAACCAAAGGTCAGGATGAACCAGAGCTTCCTTTATGTGCTTTTTTTCTTTCTTTTCTGATGCAGGTACTTGGGCCTGAACTCAGGGCCTCCCACTTGCTTGAGTCTCCCAGACTTTCCTGCCCAGACTGGCTTTGAACTTCGATCCTCAGATCTCAGACTCTTGAGTAGCTAGGATTACAAGTTGGAGTCACCAGTGCATGGCTCTTTGTTTGCTCTTGCTTCAGGACTTGAGGCCACTACGTTGGCAGTGTCAGGAAGTGACCAGGGTGCAGCCCATCTCCAGACTCACATGCCAGTCATGAAGAACAGTATAGCAGGTGGTCACAGCTGGGCCTGGGACATAGGTGGCACCAGGAGCCATGTGTCATGCCTAAGCCTCTAGATTCAAGGTAAGAGTCTTTAGGCTGGGTACCAGTGGTTCACATCTGTAATCCCGGCTACTAGTCTGAGACTTGAGGATCATGTTTCAAAGCTAGTCTAGGCAGAAAAGTCCAGGAGATTCTTATTTCCAGTTAGCCACCAAAAAGCTGGAAGTGGGAAGTTGAACTGTGGCTTAAGTGGTAGAGTGCCAGCCTTGAGTGAAAAAGCTAAGGTGCAGCATCTAGGTCAGGGTTTGAGTCTCAGTACATATGCGCACACACACAGACACACACGTGCCAGTCAGCAGATCAACAGATACAGAGGCAGAAAACCAATCCCTTGGCCCCTTTTTTCTGACACTCCATGTGCTCCATAGGCCAATCTACACTCCCTAAAGACACAGGAAGAAAAAAAAAAAAAAAAAATATATATATATATATATATATATATATATATATATATATGTCTTTTTTAACAGCTTACCATATAATTAACTTCAAGTATACTAGTCTGGTTTCAACTTATTCACAGATCACATAGCCATCACAATTCTAGAACACTTTTGTCCCCCTATGATAAGCTCTATGCCTATTAGTTGTTATTCCCATTTTCCTCCATAGAACCATTCACGCTAGGAATGTGGCTTAGTGGTAGAGTGCTTGCCTAGCATGCATGAAGCCCTGCAGAAAAAGCCAGAAGTGGCGCTGTGGCTCAAGTGGCAGAGTGCTAGCCTGGAACAAAAGAAGCTCAGGGACAGTGCCCAGGCCCTGAGTTCAAGCCACAGGACTAACAAAAATAAAAATAAAAGCCGGGCGCTGGTGGCTCACGCCTGTAATCCTAGCTACTCAGGAGCCTGAGATCTGAGGATCGCGGTTCAAAGCCAGCCCAGGCAGGAGAGACCGTGAGACTCCTATCTCCAATAAACCACCAGAAAACCGGAAGTGGCGCTGTAGCTCAAGTGGTAGAGCGCTCGCCTTGAGCTGAAGAGCTGAGGGACAGCGCCCAGGCCCAGAGTTCAAGCCCCACGGCCGACAAAAAAAATAAATAAATAAAAATCACCTCAATCACCCATCCATTTTCTGGCTGTAGGTCTGTTTATCTGCATATCTCATCAAGTGGAATCATACTAGCTGAGGTTTTTTACTATCAGCTTCTTTCACTTAGCATTGTGGTTTCAAGGCTCATTCACTATGGAGTTTTTATCAATAGCTTAGTCCTTTGGACAGTATTCCTTGTGCAAATAACTATATTTTGTTTATCCATTAACTGGTTGATGTTCTCTTGGATTGTCTAAATTTTTTAGGTTGTCTCTGGAGTGAGTGTGTGTGTGTGTGTGTGTGTGTGTGTGTGTGTGTGTGTGTACTGGGGCTTGAACTCAGGACATCATGCTTTTTCACTTAAGGCTGGTGCTCTACTGCTTAAGCCATAGCTCTTTTTCTGGTTTTCTGCTGGTTAATTGAAGGTAAGAGTCACACAGACTTTTCTGACTGGTCTGTCTTGGATCCTCAGATCTTAGCCTCCTGAGTAGATAGGATTAGAGACATAAGCCACCAGTGCCCAGCCAAATTGTTTGGGGTTGGTTTTTGTCAGCCATGGGCACTGTCCCTGAGCTTTTTTGCTCAAGGCTAGTGCCCTACCACTTGGATCCACAGCACCATTTCCAGTTTTCTGATGGTTAACTGGAGATAAAAGTCTCATGGACTTTCCTGCCTGGGTTGGCTTTGAACTGCAATCCTCAGATCTCAGCTTTCTGAGTAGCTAGGATTACAGGCGAGAGCCACCAGCACCCAGCTCAAGTTGTTGTTCTACTTCTTCCTTTTCTCCTCCTCCTTCTGCTCCTCCTCCTCCCACATGAATTTTCAGTATATTTGGAGCATTTGTTGAAATACTTTTTTCTTCATTGAATTGTCTTCAATTAAATAATGAAAGGGTTTTTTTGTTGTTGTTGTTGGTCGTTGTTGTTGTTGGTCTGGGCCTGGGCACTGTCCCTGCGCTCTTCAGCTCAAGGTGAGCGCTCTACCACTTGAGCCACAGCGCCACTTCCGGTTTTCTAGTGGTTCATTGGAGATTAGAGTTTCCCTGACTTTCCTGCCTTGGCTGGCTTTGAACCGAGATCCTCAGATCTCAGCCTCCTGAGTAGTTAGGATTACAGGCATGAGCCACCGACGCCCAGCTGAAAGGTTTTTTTTTTATTCATTCCTTGATCTACATTATCTGCCTTTATACTGGCACCACACTGCTTTTTACATTATTATAACTTTGTAGTATGTTTTGAGATCAGGATCTCTGAATCCTCTAGCTAGTCCTCTAGCTTCATGATTATTTTATTTTTTGTTTTCTGAGTCCTTTGCATTTATATTTGACTGTTGTTTGTTCATTTATTTATTCATTCATTCATTCATTTAAACAAGATCTTACTATGTAGTCCAGGCTGGCCTTGAATTTACAATCCTCTCACCTCAGCTTCCTGAGTGCTGGGATTACAGGATTTTATCACCAGGCCTGGGTCCATTTCAATTTTAGGAACAGCTAATTGGTTTTTGTGAAAAGGCAAAAGAAGGAAAAAACGGATTTTTTTTGGCCAGGAATTGCAAAAATGAATTTGAGGAGTTTGCCATGTTCGCAATGTTAAACATTCTGATGTTTTTGCATTTAATATAATATAAATGCATTGCTTTCTGTTTCATTCTTTTGGACCATTCCTTTGCCAGCAAAGAAAAACAATATAGTTTTGTATTGTATATTCTTGTATTCCACCACCTTGAATTTATTAGCTGGTGTATGTGTGTGTGTGTGTGTGTGTCCCTGAGGCTTGTTTTTGTTTTAGTTTTTTGGTTTTTTTTGGTAGGTCAGGTCATGGGGCCTGAACTCTGGGCTTGGGCACTGTCCTTCAGCTCTTCAGTTCAAGGCAAGCGCTCTACTGCTTGAGCCATAGCAGCACTTCTGGTTTTCTAGTGGTTTATTGGAGATAAGAGTCTCACAGACTTTCCTGTGCGGACTTTCCTGCCCGAGCTGGCTTTGAACTGTAATCCTCAGATCTCAGCCTTCTGAGTAGCTAGGATTACAGATGTGAGCCACCGGTGCCCAGCCCTGAGGCTTGCTTTTTTTTTTTTTCTTTTCGGTACTAGGTTAGGCAAGTGCTGTACCACTGAGCCCACACCCAGAGGGCCTCCTGATAGCTGTCTGTATTTAAGATCATGCTATTTGTAAATAAAGATAGCTTACTTTCTCCTTTCCAACCTAGATGTCTTTTTTTTCCTGTCTCAATTTTCCAGGATAGAATTTTAGCCTATGTTAGGTAAATTAGCGACTGGCAACCACCAGTCGCTGGTGGCTCACACCTGTCATCCTAGCCACTCAGGAGGCTGAGATCTGAGGATCACAGTAAAAAGCAGGAAAGTCCACAAAATTCGTACTTCCAGTTAACCACCAGGAAACCGGATGTGCCTGTGTGGCTCAAAGTGGTAGAGTGCTAGCCTTGGGCAAAAGAGCTTAGGGACAGCACCCAGGTGCTGAGTTCAAGCCCTGTGACAGACAAAAAACAAGAAAGCAAGCAAGAAAGAAATGGTGACAACCAGTATTCTTGTGTGTCCCTGATCTCAGGGGGAAAGCATCTGGTCTTTCATTATGAATTATGAGATTCCTTGTAACTTTTTCACAGATGGATTTCTATAATTAGCAAGTTGAGAAAGTTCCCTTTTACTCTTAAAAATGTTCAGCTTTTTTTTTTTTTACTTTATTAGGAAAGAGTATTGCTTGTTGTCAAATGTACTTTCTGTATCTGTTAAAATGATTATATGGTTTTGTTCTTTATTAATAATCTGTGTTAAAGTAATTGATTTGGGGCTGTTAAACCAACCTTGTATTCGTGGGATAGGTTCCTCTTGGTCATCTGTATAATCCTTTTCATATGTTGTTGGATTTGCTTTGCTATTATTTTGTGGAGGATTTTTGTGTCTGTATAAGAACAATGATCTGTCATTTCCCTGGGATTTCTTTGTCTCATTTTGTTATCTGAGTCATGTCCCGTCTTTTGTTTTGCTTCTGCCCCAACTTCCCTTACATCCCCACTGTCCTACCTGATCTTTCTCAGGTGACAAAATGCATCTGCAGAATAGAAAATCACAGACTCTGCACTGCCCACTGCAGTGGTCCCCTCCCCATCCCCAG